GTGCATTTTAAACAGTATAAACTTGCCTAAGCTTTAATGGCAATCACATAACTTCGACTGACAATGAATCTTATCTGCATGTTCCACTTACTGATCGTTTAAAAATTTAATCAAAATCAATCAAATGCGTGTTCTTCTAAAAGAAAAGTTGTTAACAAAATGGCAAGATTGGAATTTTTTACTTTGATGTTAAGCCTAAGTGAACAGGGTGATCCAAAACTCCTGCCTCACCCCGATGAAAATCAGGGTTCTTGGCCCTTTCCCGCAGAAACCCTTCAAAATTTTGGGTCCTAAAAGTAGTTTTCTTTCACCCTGGAGGACTCAAAAAATTTCAAGTGTCAATCTCAATTGTTTCAAAAGTTACAAGGTAATGCCTACTGGTAATAGTGCTGGACTTTTGGATCACGCTGTATTATTCTTAGGACCAAAATGTAGGTATTTACGGTTCCTGTGGGCGAAATTATGATTTTATATTGACTGGCAGTTTATAGTTTGAAAATTCATTTATTCAACTTTACAATATTTACAAAATAGTTTTGATGAGTATTTAAAATATACAATTTAAGAATTCTCACAAATATTTTCAAATTCAATCAAATCTATTTGAAGTAATAAATAAAACAGAAAGAGCAAAACAGAAGAGGAAAAAATTACAGAAAGTTGATTCATCATCAAAAAGACTTAACTTAAATAATTAGTTAAAGGCTTTTTATACATCAAGGGACGAACATTTCTTCACTTTCTTATAACTTCATTTTTTAACTTTTTTTTTTTTGTATTTTTTTTTCGAATGCAATTTTTTTGCACTCTTATTTTTCTTTTTTTCATTTTTTTGTAAATTTTTTCTTATTTGAATTGTAATTCATGCTATAAATACAATTGTAAAAATCTGTTGATTCTGAGAGGAATGTAAAATAAAATTAAAAATAAACAAAACACTATCCCTACCTTCAAAACTTTGTTGATAAATGATTTAATGTACAGGAGACTAAAGTAAATTACAATTTTAAAAATCTTAATCGCATTTAAAAAAATGAATAATTAAGTGCATCGTAAAAATTAATCAACAAAAACATACTTTACACGATATAGCAAAATGAATTTTATTAACATACGCTGGCATTCATAGATTAAAATTTATTATCATTAATCAGTATGCAAACCAGAAATTTACAGGGAGAAAAATGAAGTATAAATAAAAAGAACAACGAACGATTCCTACTTAAAAGCAATGCAAGTAGTTGAGTCAAAGATTATGTGATCACTTTTATGATTCCTTTCCTTCTTTAAATTTTTGTCCTATTCAGTCATTCAGCTTTGGCTAAGCATGAAGCATTATTGACCTAGTGGTCGAAACAAAACAAACGTTTGTTTCCATTAAAATTACTTGTTTCTAAAACCATCAAAATTCTGCCTTTACTTTCAGGAACAAGAGCACTTTTCCACAAGAGCTCAAACAAGATAAAGGAGCTTTGCTAACATTTAATTAATTTCAGAAAAATTATCCTATTGATCAGGATACAACTCATAAATAAACACACCTACATCAGCAGCTTTGAATGAATTCTCATCCTTTCCTTTCCATTCTACCCCTGATAAGTCGTTCTGATTGCAAATGGATTCTTACTCATGAGTTGACTAACACAAGCACTGATAAATTTAAGTTATTTCATTTTCACAATTTCCATACACATCGTCACAGGATTGGTTTACAGCATCTTACGATCTAAAGTACCATACTTGGTACACCACACCTCGTATACAAAATTTTACGAATAGGACAAATTACAAATTGTCAAAATTTTCCCCCTTGAGAAATAGTTTCCGAGGTTAAATTTCTTTCTGAGCAGAATCCTTCTTATTATTCACATTCAGCGAATCACCCTCAGAATAATTGATTAAGTCTTGAGGGGGGGATCAGGCCGTTGAGTGGAGAGTTAAACAGACTGAGAAGAAATTTGCACCTTCCTCAAAACAAAACACGAGCTACTAAATATTCCAAGTGACAAAATGGGAAAAATTTGTTTAAGATTTGACTGTGTGATGTTTTTCTGACTTCAACTGCTCATTGCACATGGAATTCCGAACAACATATTTTTAAAATCATTTATATTTTTAGTTATTTCTTGGGATCAAAAGAAAGCCTAAATCTAGCATTAAGTGGTTCGTTTCCCATTTTCCTTTTGGTTCTCAGCTCATAACTCCTATGACTCTGACACTCCAAAAAAGTTTTATTGACTTGAAAAAAAACCGTTTTCCTTGAGATTNGGGGGGGGGGGGGATTGAATTTGGTCCAAATTTACAATCCTTAGGTTGGGAGTCTAAAATTATGTTGAACCATTGACGAACATGATTACTATTGTCGAGCTCAGTAACGGTAGACTTCTCATTGATTTTTTGGTGCAGTTTGTACAAATTGTTAGGTACCAATGAATAAAATCTTGAATTAAAAAATTTGATGATGCTTCCTTTGCTTTTTGAAGTCTAGAACAATACTAAGGGACTGGGCAAGAATTCAACTTGGAGTAAAAATAAGATATGAATTTATCCATAATCTGTAATGTAAAATAATTTAAAATTTTCCAAATTCCACTCTAAAACAACTCCACACAACTCCGGCAGAAGAAACGAACTAAAGAAGGTCAATGAAGACAGTCAAAAAGATTAAGGAGAAAAGAAGCAAATAAAAAAATTTCCTAAATTCAACTCATTTTAGGACTGCCAAAAATTTCAGATTTAAAGAGAAACCCCCGTTTTTGCTGGGTGATAAGAAACTAACTACGTCATTATCCTTAGAGCAGGAATAATACACAGAAGGTAAAAAAGTCAGTGATTAAATATTACAAACAAATTTCTCAAAGACAAAATATCAAACGGACCGATACCATTAAGCACTGAAAAGTTAGAGCTAATTTTCCATTCATATTATTCATAAATGAAAGGCTAATACTCATGCTAAAACACGGCTAGACAATTTTTAAAAAACATTGATTGCTAACTTTTTCATCTTGACTTTTACAGCATAGCCCGATAAAAGGGGAAAAATTTCTGGCACAGGAATACAAACCCTAAATGTTTTCCTCTTCATACTTGACGAATAAAAATCCTGACACTTTGAGTAGCTGAAAATGTTTTTCCCTAATAATGTAGTCAGTCAAACTTTTACCATTCAAAAATGAAAAAAAAATCTTGAACATTAAAAGACAACAGGATTATTAAACCTGTCAAAGAGATATTTTCTCATTAATACAAGTCAGCTTTAAGTTTCCAGAAATCTTCAGTAATGTTTAAGTTGCTGAAGCAGCAAATTAACTTTTCAGCCTTACTTATTCAAAGGGATAGTTCAAATCAGCGGAAGAGGTTTTGAACAACGTTCCAGTCACTTTAGCACCTATACAAAATGAAAGGTATCTCTAGTGAAAATCAAAGGAAGAAATTTTCATTATGCTACTCAGCGATAAAAGTAAAAAATTTGCACTTAATTTATGTAAAGATGAGATTTGATACTTTAAGGCTTACAGATTAAACAAAATTGTACAAGGTAGAAGCAGTCGATAGATCAGTGGTTAAAGATTACTTTTAAGTACTTAGTCGATGCCTAAAACTTACAGTTTACCAGCATTGTAAGTTGAGAGGATGTCTTCACGAGAAAAAACCTATTTACCTAGTGAAAAACCATCTCGCAAAAGTCTTAGCTCACATTAATTCTCTTCTAATAAAACTAGAGAACACAAACAAATACTTAAACACTAGCACTACACCCCAAGTCCCGATGACCTTTAATAACTGCACCTGATCAAGTCACAAATCTATTTAGTCGTAAGATTCCTACAAAAATTTTAGTGATGCTTATGATCACTTGCACACTATCCAAGAGATGACTTGATCGAAGCAAAAGCCTATTCTAAAACCCATTTTTGGCTTTGCGTAAAACCAGAGATAATGCACCGGTGAAGGATATTCAGATACATTTGGATAAAAAAGACACTATGTACATCGTGACCAGGCCCTGAGACCCATAAGAAAATATGCACGACAGGGCCCTTGTCACAAGAGATAGCTCTTTTTGATTCAAATACATCCATTGTTGCTTGAGGGATTAATTTACTTCCGAGGTATTGCTGAGGAATTTTATCACTAAAACTAAAAAAGGCTCGAAGGAAATTAAATTACTCTGGAAGATGGGAAAATACTCTCTTTGGGAATTTTTGCAGAGTTTCTCCTCCTCTTATGTGTATGGATGGACAATGGTTGAAGAGTTTCAATTTAAACTGACTAAGTTGAGTTCTTTGTAGGCTAACTAAATTTGAGACACCTTACTAGATGGGTTAAGAATTCATTTAGCAGGGATCGGAATCCCGAGACATATCTTTCAAGAAAGGATAAAATTACAAGCTTCCTCGAAGTTATTGAAATTGTTGACTTAGTGAATAAAAATCCTCAGTAATAACTCGACGAATACAACACGTTCTGTCCTACTTGGCACTTGCATAAACTAGTTGTAAAATTATTAAAACAGTGGGTACATAAAAAGGAGCAGTTTCTTATCCAAGCACAAAGTTTATGGAAAAAAATGAAGTTTACAATTTAAATTATTTCTGTTAAAAATGAAATTAGGGTGGGAACTTGTCTGAAAAGGTAATTCATGAAAACAAGAAATAATGGAAACCGCTCTTGCCCTTTTACTATCAGGTCCTCCACTTCAATTTTTCAAAAGAGCTGAAGAAAAAACTTAAGATACAGTGGAAATGCTACCATGAAGAGATGAGCAGTCTTGTACAATTGCACATTCCATCAAAATTTTTGGCTCCTTCAAAAGAAACTAGTTAAAAAAACATAAGAGGTCTTATGCTCACTACTCAGGCTAGTTTGAAAATAATAAAAAACTCGCACCGACAAGAATCAGAAATGAAGCTAGCATCAATGTACGATGACTAGAACACTAATTTTTTCCGCTCTATCTTAAATATAAATTATGCGCCACGTGAAAAAATACAGTGTTCATCTTTGAAAATTAGATTTATTCATAATTATGTATATATATTACAAATGTCCTTGTTTGATTAGTTGACTAACATTGACACGGTGTTGACTTGTTGCGCTCATCTCAACAAGGAGCAGATTATTTCTGGTCGAGTCTTCTGATAAATTGATAGCGTTGACAATGATGATAATTAGGATATAATAAAAAAGTAATAAAAACTAAAAACAAAACTCATGAAGAGGAGTAACTCCAAATTAAAACAGCTGCATGTAGGACGGTCAAAAAAGTAAGAAACTTCAACAAATAATTGCTCAGAGGTCAACGAAGAGTCGATCACCTCACTGGCAAGACTACATAATCATTCTGATCTCAACATTTTAGATCAGTAATGGCTATCAGTGTTTGCAGATGTCACTTAAAATCTGTGGGAAAAATATTACTCAACGAGAAATAATCACATTGATGGATTAAAAAGATGAAATACGAGCCACAAGCTTAATGAATCAAATGCTATGGTTTCAGGGTACTCAAGATGTGTTTTTCTAAATATCCGCGCTTTAAATGGTTTTACCACTCAAAATCCTGTCTGAGAGAATGGTCACAATAGATAAAGACTAAAAAATTATTGAATATGAAATTCACTACGGCGAATCTTTAACAAAAGATGTGAAACACGCCTTGGACGAACTCACACTTACAAAGAATTTCACTCCAGCAATTTGACTCTTCCCTCGCTAAAAGAAGTATGTGAACCACTAAGTAGTTTCTCTGACAGAGTCGCAAGTTATTACAATAAGGATCTCAGCGCCCAGAAACTTGGGAAGGAAAGACAAACTGATTACATACATTTCTCGCTGTGTAATAAGATAACCGAAAGATAGAACTTTCTCTTCGATGATGGAAAATACTGAGCCATCCCTATCTAGCAGCTGCATCAGAAAACATAACATTGAAAAGATAGACCTGTCATCGACACATCAAGGTCAACCATCATCACAATGACATTACATGGACTTATAAGTAAGGATTGCTTCATCAGGATATTTGGAGTCATTTCAAATTAGACATTAAAAATAAATAAAAACCTGACAATGAGAAGTTTGGTGACACAACTAAGGCAAAACGCGGGCGAATGGATTTGATGCTGGTTTTTCCATTCACTAAGTTCTCAATGACGCTTGGATTAGAGTCAGTCTTTGCCGATAAGAAACAGGAAGATGATCAAGGGAACGTTGGATTCACAGTGCGTTAAGTATCTCAAGTTTAAAAATAGGTTGGCAGAATCAGGATTTAAATGCTAATAAAAAGGATTTGATGATCTGCCTTTGATTTCTTGAACAAGAGCATTCAAGCTGACTGATGTCGCGAAGATTAAGTTACGTATTTTACGTACTAAAGAGGGACTGATTTTGTCAAATTTGATTCTTTTTTTCATTCACCCAGAGCAAGGGGAAAGACAGAAATAGGAAGTGAAATGATCTCACCACAGTTATGATCGCGTAAAAATGGTTGAGAAAATTAGCAAACACAGCCTTATAAAAAGCTTTAAAAGATTGGATCTACGCTAACAATACTTTGCATACATATGTTTTTTTTAAAAAATATAAATATACCGCTTAGAATGTATATATTTGTATAACTATATATACACTGCACCATCAATAATCAATAATTAATACAAATTTAGGATGATCGATCCGATCCGTGGAATAGAGATAGAGGGGTAAGAATGAAAAGAGAAAGGAGAGTCAAGAGCGAACTTAGAGGATAAAATAAATTAACTAGAGAGGGAATCATGAATACATTTCCCTGGCGAAACTCAGAAACGTTCAATTTACACGTAAAAACTAAAACATTTTCAAAATTGTTATATAAAATGTAACATATTAAGAGAAAAATACCAGGCAGATTATGAGAATTCATTCCGACGTCAGCCTTACAAAATTTACAAAACTATTTACTAATATATACATAATATTTTTATGTCACAAAAGCTCTTTTCACAAAATTTGTTTAACAACTACGTAACAAAACTTAGACGGCTAAAAATTGATACAGGTCTATGTACAGACAAAAAGATTGATAAAAAATTTAAATAACAAATCACTTTAGTAAAGTTAACTGAGTCAATAAATATAAATTTAACCGGATACATAGTACCGACAGGATCGTTGTTAATGTACAAGCTGTAAACAAGGATTTTTCACGTCATTTCTCTATACTACAACTGCTCGACGAATTTCGATAACTGGTCCTGAGGCGTTAGCTCGCCGGTATCACTGGTGGGTGGCTGCTGTGACGCAGAGCCTAGTTGCGACAACATCAAGTCGTTTGGAGTCCCCATGTCCTGGTGGTGAAGAGGAGAAGGCCCCCCTCTCGGCGACTGTACAGGCTGGTTCCGTGGAGACACTACAGGCCTCGGAGAAGGATTTGGTTGTGGCGACCTGATAGGCGGCGGCGATTGCATCAATTGCTGCTGGGAAACCAGATTCCCCGGTGGACCCATTACACCTTGAGGAGAGGGAGTTGGAGGAGGTGTCGGCTTGGCTGAATACTGAGCATCAGGTGGAGCGGTGAATCCTTGACTGTAGCCTCGCATCCCTGGAAGCCTTTGCTGAGCCATGCCGTAAGCAGCTGGCCCTGGCGCTTGGCCCACAACCTGTTGTTGCCCGTAACCACGCATCATTGTAGGCGGCTTGTACCACTGAGGGTTCTGCGGCTGCGGCTGCGGTTGCTGTTGTGGCTGCTGTTGAGGATGCAACTGTTGTGTTTGCTGTTGCTGCACGGCCTGCACTAACATTCGGTTTTGCTGTGGTTGCAGCTGCTGTTGTTGTTGACCTAAAAGTGCATGCTGGGCTTGCTGCGGATTAGGGCCTTGCTGCGGGGCCGGACCGACAGCGCCTCCAGCGCCTTGCTGTTGGTAAACTTTCCTTTGATTGATGTACGCTGCCATGAGTTGCGGATTGCTCTTCAGGATTTGAAGAACTTGGGCTTGCTGCTCGGGTGAGGTGGGCGATCGAAGGACATGCAACAGTTGTTGGAGGACTTGCTTGTTCCCTGCATTGGCTGTGGGCTGAGCTTGCCTGAGCCCAACGTTAGGCTGGCCTGGTTGCGGTTGCATGAGTGGTTGCTGCCCAGGCTGTGGTTGAGGTTGCTGTTGTTGAGCTTGCTGCTGTTGCTGTTGAAGCAGTTGAGGATTGCCTACCTTCAAACCTTGGTTCTGCTGCTGGAGTGCTACCCCCGGAGGCTGTGGATAGCGAGGTTGCCACTGTTCCATCGAAATTAGAGGCAGACCTGGCATATTTTGCCCCATTTGCCGCTGCATTGGAGGTGGGGCCATGGGTTGTGGTCCGACTGAGGGATTTACTTTGCCGTAACCGACGTGAGGCGCCTGTTGCCTAGCTGCTTCTTCCTGAACCTGGTCCAAGTAAGACAAGAATTAGCCAAACATGCAAAGAGCACTCTTACACAAGAAAAATTCCTCAAAGAACACAGAAAAATATATTTAGAGCCTTGCCATTTTTCGACAGAAAGAATGCTTCAAGTAACTTGAGGATTAACAGGAAGTCTGATTTCCTTTCATTTCATTCGCCTGTAAGAGGAGCCCTCCATTTAAAAATATATAAGTTTGTTGTCCTCAGACATTGACTTGACATTGAGATTACAAAAACTAAAGGACCTAAGACACCATTTATCGCTGAGTGATGTAAATAACTTTAGGACGGGACTTTCCCTCATAAATTATGCTGACCTTGGCAGAACTTCTTGAATATCTTGTTTCCTCTTCAACAGGTGGCTGAAGCGTTGTTATTCTTAAATTTGTGTTGTAAGGAATTTGGTTAATTTTCCTCAACTTAATATTTTATCTATTTCTTCATTATGATAGGAACTTATTTTTTTTATTTTCATTCATAGCTATTGTATGTATTCTTTTTTCTTGTACTTGAGGTTCTACCTGTCAAAATTTTAAGTTTGAATGAATAAATGAAAAATAACTTCTTCAATTCTTCCCATGTTCTCTGAAGACTGCAACTTTTAAATTAGATATTCCTCATGTAACATGGAAGATGAGGAAAATTCCATGACAAATTTTGAGCACTAAGACTCTTGAGATTGAAAAATGCAATGCTTGAGCTGAAAAAATGATTTTCTAAGTTCAGCAGCAAAATTTTGTGACTTTTCAGAGATGAGAAAAATTCCCTGACTTTCTTAGGTTTTACCTAACTTTTCAAGAACTAGTTACTCTGTTACGAGATTCTAATGATAGCAAGGCTCATGTGAGATTAGGAATGGACATCTTTCCAATCAAGCTCAAATCACACCAAACAAGAGACGGAGGGAAAACTTACCTGTTTTACAACTTGGAGGACATTGGCGGGCGGAGTCTGCGTTCCAGGCTTCATGCCGATACTAGGTGCTTGGTGTTGGAGCGGCTGCTGGGACGGTTGAGAGACTGCAGCGCTAGCCGGAGACAGGGACGCGCCAGGACTCTGTCCTGGTAACGAGGGGATTCCGCCGACACCCGATGGTAGTGGTGCTGTCATGACGGCCACTCGACGACGTAGTAGCTGCGCTTGTTGCATTCTCTGCTGTAACTGCTGTCTCTTCATCTTATGCTTGATGTTCAGGCAGAAAGGTACCAAGCATTTTGTTTCCTGAAAAAGAAAAAGAACTTAATGATAGTGAAAGAACTTCTCGAAAATTGTAGAGGCAATGAGCTGACAATTGGACCATGAATTTGTCTCACATAAATAGTAAAATAAGGCATTACTATAATGAATGTCTCGGCAATCAGTTAATTGTTCTTACTTATATTTAAATTCTGATTCTATCTCTAACTATGGACCAAATAATTCATTGCTCCTGAGAGGAAGGATTCTCTGAAAAAATTAGCGAGATGCAATTGTATTTAAGACGATTTTTAGCTCCTGAACACATATTTCTTTTGAAATTTTGAGAAATAAAATACCGAATTATGACACACGATCGTTAATGAACAAATGGTTTAAGCCACAGAGAAAACAGAAAAATTGATTCGAAAAATTCAGCGGCAAGGGACTTTTTCTAATCCTCATAATGGCTGATTGCAGACAGCTAAATTTGGGTAGAACTTGGGTTTTCTCTCTACCAACTCGACAATTCCATTGTTTACAATTTGGAGTTTCATTTCATTAAAAAATTTTTTACAAAAATCATGGTTTTCTTCAGAGCTTGTTACCTGGGAGAATACAGTTTGACAAATTGAGATGGATAAACATACCTTACAGTATCTCGCATGATAATAACAAAGCGCAAAGTGCTGTTTACAGATAGGGCAGTTTCCATTAGCTTTGCGCTTACAAAGCCGAGTATGTTGGACAACTCGCTTCATACGCAGGCAACTATGTAACCTACAGTTAGCATCACGGCACTGACAGGCGTGCACCAGAGAGCTGATACACCTTTGTATCGACAATTTAAGAGCCTCCTAAAAAGAATGACACCAAAATATTAGCATTACTGTGATAAAAACAGCTGACAAAATAAAAACCGCATACAAGGTACGATTCACTTTGATTAAAATAAATGATTTACTTTGGAATAATAAATTAATTAAAACGTGCATTGAGATGAAACTAAGCACGGTTTGACATTATCTTCATAAAACCAGGAGCCAATAATATTTCATCAAATTTTCATGTAAGACAAATTAAAAATATCCCTAAGAAACGAAGTTTAAAAATTAAAAGAGCTTCGCCAGAGGACAAATCATCACCTTCCAGAAGTACTATCAGTTCATTTTTATATGCAAATAGTTTTTTTTTTTGTTATTATAATTGTTGGTAGGTGGATGAAATGGAATACCAATAATTTTATCAAATTTGGGGTATCAAGATTTTCATTTTTTGTGTCTTATTTGGTTCTACTTTCTTCACAAGCGTCAATTGTGCGCAAATCTACATAAGACTAATGTTAAACGAACAAAGTTAATCACATATGTTAATGACACAACAGAGACTTGACATTTTGTTCACATGTTCAAAATCCTTCTCAGCATCTAATTTGAGTAAAATTTGAAGAGAAAAGTCAAATGAAGTATCCATTTTGGCACTTGTGAAACTCTTTTGAGGCCTAATAGCCCTTGTGATAAACTGTTTTTTTTTCTTGTTTATTTACTAATTTAGTTAATTCAAATGAAGGAAGGGCGTGGATGTTATCCGAAAAGTTCAAAATTAAATGTTGAGAGCGGAATCGATATTTTAAATCAGAAAAATCCCCCACACAAAAAGTAATTCAATATTACAATTTATCATTAAGGCACTTGTGATCTTTTGTCCAGAGGGTACCAAAATAATTGCAAAAATTTTTAAGAAATGTGATGAAATCAAAACTATGAGTAAATAAGACAACATAGAAAAGGATAAAGATTCGCGGGTGTTTGAATTGGTGTAAACAGAAAGAGAAGAGTTTCATTACCTGAGGATTGCCTTGCTTCTGATCAACAGGAGACGATCCATCGTCCAGATCAAGGCCAAGTTTTTCCATTTTGTGAGGATGACCATCTTTATCATAACAATTAACACACAGATCGAAATCCTGCAAAAATAAACCAAATACATTAAAACACGCACATAAATACCATGATAATCAATCCAATAAGATTTTAAAATTATGTTTGGTGATAGTAGAAGGAGTAGATTTAGCAGAGTAAGCTATTAATTGATACTTTTTAATAGTCACCTTGTCTTTGATGTATGGACCCCAGACATTTGTCAATTGGTTTTGTTCAGCAAAAAAGTGACATGCTATCGAAATGAGCATATTGAACATTGAATTATGCATAATATTCCTTTATTTTCAATAAATAAATGGATTTTGATAGATTAGGGACTTAGAAATGATTCATAATTTTTCGAATTCGGACTTCAAATTTTGTTCGTCAATTAATGCATATTTTGGACTTGAGATACTATGCAAAATGAACCTATTACTTTCCTTCTAAGAAGCAGAAAGAAAATACAAACTCAACATGTTTCTTCTCATCAAAACAGGTGCAACAAGGTTTTCATGATTTTTTTCATTTTTTGACTCCCTCACTTCCTTTAACTATTTTTCCTTTTTCCTGATTCTAAAATAATCAAGTTCTCCGAATTTCCCTAATATTGGAAAATGACTTTTACTGAGACTTCTAACCTTTCAATCACCCTCACTTTTCCTGAATGCTGCTTGCAAAGTTCCCTGATTTTCCCTACAAATCCCCTGACATTTTCAGGTTGTCATTAATTTCCTAACTTACCAGATCCCTGGAAACCCTTAATGTCACTTTAACTTTTGAATTCTCTGAACAACGGAATAATTCTGTGCTCATGCATTGAACCTAATAAGTATAAAAATCCTGCAATGGATACTTACATCACAAACTGTACAATGATACCGCGTTTCAACATGTGCTTTACAATTATTACAGTTGTAGTAGAACCTATCTTGTCCTTGATTATGCAATTCGTACAACATGGCCATTGTTGAGAATTTTGCTCTCCTGAGTGAAGAGAATTCGTAGTGCCTTTCCCTGGCCATCGTTAGGAAAGCGTCCCGACCATCCATGAGTTCACAATTGATGAACGGATCCGGATCTTGAATAGGCTGTGAAATCAAACAAAAAACACATGCTTAAATGTATATTTGGATGTTGCGAACACAAACAGCAAACTTGACGATAATATAGCGGAACAAAAAATTTTTAAAATTAATTATTCAACTTTAACTTTTACTTATTTTCTGCGTTGAAAAAACCTTTCCATAAAAAATTTCCTCACAAGCTCAATGGTTTGGTCCTGCCCCTTGCCAGCTAGAACTCTATGTTTCAGCATTTTTGCAACCCTGAGGAGACGCAGCTAGAGTGAGCATTTTTCACCGATGTTGACATCCAACAGATTATGGTTACATATTTATGTTTCATGCATTTAAAACAATATATTGCAGATTTACTTAAATTTAAAAAAAGTAACTGACAACTTTATTTTAGGTGTTAGCTATTTTTGTTTTATTTCCCTTGCTACGTTTCTCATTTTAATGAAGACTGCAGATGACAGGACGAGCAACTTACCGCTAGACTAGCTGCAGATTGTGCAGAGTGAAGTTTGATGACGAAGAAGACTTCTTTGTGCTTTTCCATGGTGGCAAATATTTTAGCCGAGAGATCGTTTCCAGTCTGTGGAGTGTTGGACTTTTTACTGTTACTCTTGCGCTGGTTCGCTTTGGATTTGTTTGATTTCTTTGCTTTCTTCTGGCCTTTCTTCTTCCCGTCAGCACCTTCCTCGCTATCCTCATTCATCGAGTAGATAGCATTAGCGGCCGCCGCCGCTGCTTCTGCCGCTTCGGCTTGCTTCCGTTTTTCTTCTTCTTCTTGGTCCAGTTCTTTGATGCTCTCCTCGAGCACGTTCGGCCAGAAGTCGCCTTCAAAGTAGGGAAGCTCTGCGGCTGAGATCAACTTGTCCTCCATAGCTTGCTTTAAAATATCTTTGTAGTCTAAAACAACCCTTTCGATAATACCTGTATGACAAACACAATATCAAATTAAAATTAAATACTTACAGAGTGAATGAATTAATATTCAAAAACGGATACAAGGATATGAAGAGGGGGGGGAAGGGGCTTAGATGTTTTAAGAACGTGTTTTAAGCTAAACAACTTAACAAACACAACGAACAACAATGAACATTTGCAAATGAACCATTTTACATAAAAGTAGTTCATGTTTCATAAATTACTTGACTTTGTAGGGGATCAGAGTGTGAAAAGTTAGAATGAATTAAATTGTGAATATAAAATAATCAAATTTGGGGAAAATCTGTGCAGTTTAAAAGCATCTACCTACAACAAAAGTATGAGAAAACCATTCAGAAAATTTACTTCAAATTCAAAGCTCATAATTCTCATTGCTCAGGGTAAACAGAAAGATATTTAATTGAATAAGAGGGAAACATACCTTTATCTAGCATCTTCTTGTACCACTCTTGGAGTCTCTTTGGTTTTGGGATTTTTTGTTCGACAGGATGGTAATGGAAGATGTAGTCGTCTCCTTCCGATGGAGGACACGCCCAGATGTGCGCCATTGTGTAACCCAGCTGCTTGACATAGTCCAAATATCCCAGGAGAATTTCATGATAAACGGCTGTCCTAAATTGCCTAGGCTTGAAAAAGTGGACAGAATCTAAGTACGCGATGTAAACCCGCCTTGTGTTAGGGCATGGACACTCAGAACCGTACTCCTGGACATGCATGCCGAAGAAACAGACGTCTACTCCATCGATTTCCTCGAAGGCGAAAAGGGCCTTTGCTCTGTATGGGAACTGATCTGGCAGGTCTCCGTTTTCAACAAACTTCATCCTCATCCCAGGCTTGACTTCTACGATCTTGTCTGAACTAGCGACAACTCGTATCGTTACATCGCCAGCACCAGCTTCTTTCTTTTTAAGATAATTGTTTACCCTAGTTTCAATGTAAGTTCCTAATTTTGTTATTGGTAATCGTTTGGAATTGAATTTGTTTTCTTTTCTCTTCAATCCTTTCTTCTTAAGACAGTTATCACAGGTAAACCTGGAAAAGACAAAAAGAAACAAGTTGTGAAAAATTGTATGATTTCATGATAATAGACGGCAGGCTTTGCAATAAATGCTTGACAATTTGAATCCGCAAAAGATGACTCCATTCCTTATTTTATCTGAACTCTCTACTACTCTTCCTACTTTTGAATACTTTCCTCGAGACCTAATTCAATGATTCTGTTTTCTGAATTAAAATAGATAGCTCTCTTCAATGTAAGTTGAAAGCTTTGTGCATGTTTGTATGTTCTTCAAAATTTTATATTTAAAAAACACACAGACATTTGGAAACTTCCTCATTTTTAGATTACTGGGAGCAAATCCGCCATGTGAAGTTGACGAGAAACAAGATTAATGGCATGAATCTGAACGACAAATTGAATTTTAAGACTTACCCTTGGGGCCATATGGCTTCCATGTAAAGAACACATATTTGATGGAGTTTCCTTCCACAGTCGACACATTCAACAAATGGTTCTAATTCTAAATGATCATTTTTCATTTTCTTAAACAGTTCCTTTTTAATTGACCTGCAATAAAATCGAGATCAAAACATTAGTAAAGTCTGCTGCGAGTAAAGGGTTTTGAATCCTCAATTGAATATAAATGAAAAATCAAGGGGATTAAACATGTTGGATCCTTTTTTCTGAAGGATAATGAAAAAATATTTGATTCGTAAAATCATCGAAAAGTACAGAATAACTTAGGAAAAGACAAAGAAAAGTTTGGTAAACTATTATAGGTTGTGTTGGGGGACATTTAGCTCAAATGAGTTGGGTTTCGACAGAAAGGAGGCAATGGATCTTCAATTCTGAGCCGCACAAGATTTCAAATAAGGAAAAAACTGACAGTGCTTGGGTCAGGTCTGATAGAATCCTCCTAAAAAAATTTCATAAACCACTAAGATTTCATATCTTCCCAGGAGCAAAATTCAAATGATGAAAACAATACAGGTTTTTAACCACAGTAACAGCTGATATTGGCCTTCATCTCATAATTTTTTTTATTATTCTATTCCCCCTGACTTTTTCCAGACTTCTGATGCTATTTCAAGACTACAAAATTTCCAAAATGTCTGACTTATATCTGTCCTGAGAACTTCCACTTGGATTATTGTTTTTTTTTTTTTAAACACCGATTTTCCCTATACTTTGAACGAAATATCTAGCTACTTTTAGATATTCAAATTATTGGAAAAGGCATTCAGATATTTTTGCGCTCTCTCTAGGAACTCAGCTAAAGTTGCCGAGCTGACTTTGTTGCTTGGGAAATTCCCTGGTTTTCGAAACCACCGAAAATCCTTGACTACTATAACTAGGAAATGTTGACACGGGTTGCTAATTAGAGATAAGTGAGAGAGAGATAAAGCTGAAATAGGAAAAACTTACGTTTGAGGTTGTGTTGGATCATCTCCCAGCGTGACAGAATCTCCAGGGATATCTTGAAAACACTTTTGACAAAACGTGTACCTATCGGAGAGAACCCCGACACCTTCAAAACTTCTTTGACTGCTAAAAAAGAGAAAGGTACATCAGTAAAATAGTGCAAAAAGAACCAAAAAAAAAATATAGTATTTGTTCCTAAAATCATTTTTATGAAAAAAAAAAAAGCACTCATAGATGTAAATTTTAAAAATGTAGCAATAAATGCAAAGTACTTGTTGCAACGTGGACTTGAACTTGAGAAATGAAAAGTTTCTGTCAGTTCATATTTATTCAATCAAAAGAAAACAATGTGATTGAAAAATATGAGAGCGATACCTTCATCTCACTGGAAAACAGTTCAAGCTTTCAGAACTATCAGTCTGATTGAAAGAAAGTATAGACTCAACTGACGCTTTAGCATGGCCGACTATTGACTTGATTTATTCACGATTAAACACTTTTCGCTTTACATGGAACTACTTTCCGAGAGATGGCTGCAAAAATAAAAGTAGGCCATTCATCTCAGTTCCAGGAATATTGGAATTGTTGAGTGACAGTAAATGAAGCGAAGAGGTTAATGTACATGGGTAGAGAACTGCGTAGAGAGGAGCGGAATTTAGGACAAAATAGTTACCTGTTTTGATAACTATAGTAAATTGCATCACGAGGTATCGTGCAGAGCTGCTTGCCATAACAGCAGAGCACTTGAGGGTTGAAAGTGTGCTTACGACCGCAACAATACCCTAAAGCTTGCATCACAGGATCTATTTCTTGTTCAAAAACTTCCGATAACTGAAAAATAAGACCAAACAAATGAGTAAGTAATGACCCAGTTATGCCACAAGTTTTACAAAGCAGAAAAAGCAAACAATTAAGGACAGTCCTGTTATAACTCCAACACCTAAAATGCATTTTATATATGATTAAATCAGCTCATGCGAAAACCGCTGATGTCCATTTTTTCTGATTCTGAGAAAACTGCAAAAAACTTTAAGTGACTTTCAATCGCAGGATGAAATGATGCTTTAGAGCTGACTTCTGATCTCTCCAAACCTACCTTAATCAAACCTACAGACCCAAATCTCCATATCTTAAGGAGTCTTAAAATAAAAAAAACCTTTAAGGATGAAACATTGACACTAGTGGTTTTTCAAAATACTAATGCAATTAACGGTAGAAGTAGTAGTTTTTAATTGAAAAATCAGGTGTGAGGAAGGATCCACCAACAGCCAGCTATATTTAAAGTTATTGTAAACCTTTTTCATTCCTGATACATAATTTTGTTAACTGCTGCTAGAATTTACGACTTGGACTCTTATACATATTAGATAAAAAAAATCGAAGTTAAGTGTATACTGATTATAGGTCATGCTCAGAAATTCATTAGCAGAGAAAATCATATACTAGCAGAAACAAAAAATCATTGAAATAATTTTGCTATACTAAGAAATATTAGCAGGAAACGGAGCATGACCACCATTACAAAATAAACTGTAACATTTTAATTAAAATAATTTCCTGTTCAACAATAATAAGTAAAATAAGGAGGCTGCCTTGTATATTCTTTTAAATTTACTTAAATTCAAAAGATCTCTTCTTTAACCCGAAAAAATGTAAATAAAAAAAAAGTCAGTAAGAGCCTACAATCTACTTAGTAATCTAAACAAAATTATAAAATCTTAAGACAGAACTAGTTTGACTGGGCTTTGTAAGCGGTTAGAGCTAGGCTGAATCTACTATGGAACAAACTCATCAAAAGAAAAGCTCACCTTTGTACAATATTTATAAACACGGGAAGTCTTGCGATTATACAACCAAGCATTGTCAAACATGAGCCAGACATCGTCGACGTATTTCCACGGATCGGAGTACTGTCCCGTATCCAGCTTCCTTTTTACTGTTGATAGGTCCATAGGTTCTTTGACGATATCTAGATAATCAGGAATACCTAGTGTTTGAGGATCTACGGGAGTTCTGAAGGGTATTGACTCGGGATCTTGCCTGTACAACTTTTCCAGTGTTGGCATCAGAGCTTGTCTAAGTTCGTCAGGCTTGAAAACTGAAAAAAATAAAATATATTTCTAGTGACCATTTTTCAAGGGCAGATCTAGTATTAAAAAAACCGTTTTCATGCAATGACTGTCGCTGTCTTCAATCATAGGATAATTTATGACAAAAACTGTCTAAAACCAAGAGATTTAGTATGATAAATACATCACTTCTTTGAATAATTGTTAGAAAAACTGGTAATGATGATTTCTGGGCTAATACAACAACTTAAAACCAGCAATTTCAAAAGGGCTTAAGACTAAAGACAACATTGATGTCGTATTATAAATAAAGTATTTTACGACTGAATTGCTTTAATAGCCTTGAGGAAAAATCTTATTAGTTGCCAAGATTCTTGAGAGTTCATGATGAAATGAGTCATTTTAAATTATGTTTCTTAAGTTTCAAATTTCAAGTCGAAAACTTACGGCATTTTTTCTTCTTGTCGGCTGTTGCGGCTTGTTGGATTGGTTCTGGCACAGTAACAGGAGGTTTCGTTTCGCTTGAATCATTAGAAGGCGATCTAGGTTCACTTTTAATGGCAGGTTCTTCTACAATGCAAAACGATAAAACATTAGTTGTGAGCTATCATCATAAGCTGCAAATAAACATAGACATTGGCTGTTCTTGCTAGATTTGCCACGCATTGAATAGAGAGACCAATGTTTAATTCAAAGTGTCGTGGCGACTACTAAAAATTTCAACAAAGGTGCTACCGATTAAAAGTGATCAAGGTATTGTTATTTCAAGCATGAAAATCTGCAAAAATTAGTTTATAGTTTTCCTGAAGAAGGAGATTGTACCCTTTGTACTTTTTGATTGCCATGTTCAAAATTGAAAAGTACATATATTTATCTTCTATCTCCTCTTATCAGGGTTGCCATAGAATTTAGAAAATGAAATTGCCTGACACATCCCTAATTTTCTAGACACATTTTGGGTCCCTAACAATTGAAGATATGCCAGGTGGTTTAAAAGACATAATTTGAAATAGTTCTCATGCAAAATTTGTTGTTCGAAACATCAAACCTATTCTAAAAAGCATATTAAGGTAAAATAACGACACTCTCCTGACACTTTCTCTATTTTCTGTGACATTTCCGGGTTTCCCCTGACACTTTGAAAAGTCCTGACAATTCCCGGTTTTCCCTGACTGTGGCAACCCTGTCAATTGTCTGAACCATTCATTGCTGGAGCAGAAAACTTATTTGGACGTATTTCTATCAAACGGAACCAAGCTCCAATTTGAGTTCCTTTCGAGGAATTTAGAATCCCAGATAGCGCGTTCTGTCAAACGGACCTAAGCGCCACGGAAAAGCATTGCGAGTATAGGACGGAATAAGCCGTACGCCCGATTCCGCCGCCAATCCAAGCCCCCCTCTATTTTCCTCACCCTATGGCGCTTAGGTCCGTTTGATAGAAATACGTCCGTTTAGAACAAAAAACTCGAGAAAACAACTTACCTTTGACTTCATCTGATGGCTCACTCTTGAATTCAGTCTTAAACTCAGACTTAAATTCGGACTTGAATTCCGACATGTCTTGCTTGAGCTTCCCAAAACCACCTTTGCCCTCCATATCACCTGGGGCCTTCTCATCTTGGTTCTCTTCGTCGGGTGGCTCGCTCTTGATATTATCCAATTTACCTTTATTATTATTCGAGGGTGGTGAATCTTCATCCTGCAGGAACAGAAAATAAACAAATTCTAGAATGAGTAAAGAACAGCATAAGAGCATGAGTTAAAAACTAGCATTAGCAACAGGTAGTAACAAGAGTTTCGTTGGCGATTTGTTGGCTACGGATTTCTACAATATAGATCGTTTTTGATAGTGGTTCGATGTATCGTTTGGTTCCAAACAATAGAACATAACCTCAAACAAAACTTTCAGGAGTTCAGTCGGAAAAGCTGAAGATGAAAATATTCCTAACTATTTCACCTTGCGATGCCATTTAGTACTCCTGAGAATCAAAAATCTATCAGAAAAACCCCGTTTCCTCAGATTACTCGATTGACTTTTGAGGCTATGTTTACATGTTGAACCAATCGATATCCATACAATCACACCTATTTGATGTATCGAAAATGATCTATAGCTCCAAGCTTCCTATTTGATTACAATATTGTCAGAAACAGTACAAATTTTTAAATGCTAATAAAAAAAGAGCTTCTCTACAGAGTGACTTGAGGAAAAAATTGACGAAATTGGCATGGAAAAAATTTATATTTTGCAAGAACATAAAAAAACGCTGCAGAACAATTTCATGCAATCCAAGATTGTATTAACAATCTCAACAGGTTTTTATGAGCAAAAAAAAAAAAAGAACAATTGTACTGATGACTCCCCAGTTTTTATATCATCAAAGTTACACTTTCTTCCAATTTACCCTCTTTCGTCCAACCTTTTAAAGGCAAGTCAACGAGGACAACTAGATCTGATCTCAGAGCGGAGAGAGAGAGGAAATGTTCAGTTCTTAGCATTGATTTCCCAACAAATTCTCTTATTTTATCAAATATTTTCATTCCATTATGAATCCCTGTAATTCCTAGTTCTTCAAAGTCCTAAACATCATAGGGGGAAGAATAGTGCAGAAAGTTGAGGTTTTTTTCACCGAAAAGAAATGGTTGATAGAGAAATGTATGCTTGAAAGAAAGTCATCAAGCTCCTTTGTACAGCAAAAAGATGAAGTTAATGGTGCAAAGAGACACAGCACAGATCAACTGTCAGTTCAACTTGAATCCTGTTTAAATCCTTTCCAAGGTCACAGCTCAAGCCTAATCAATTCAATCTCTCACCACATTTCATATTCAATACTTAATAAACTTGTTTTAATTCAGTCACTCCTTCTAAACCTTCCAGAAAACAGCATGGATTTGGCAGTGATTTACAGTGTATGAATTATCATTTCAGAGAGGTCGATCCTGTTCTATAAGACCATGAACCTCAATAAGAAAAAAATTAAACTTGTAAGAAAGATAACAGCATTCTCAGACTTTTCTTGTTTCCAGCTCAGCAAATTCTTGTTAGCTGGGACTAGATCTGAATAGAAATTGAAATGCTTTGTCGGATGAAGCGGCTCTTCCTTTGTGGTTTATTAGACGAAATTTACTTTTCACATATTATACTCGTGTAAATTTCATTGTACTTCAAAGATAAATAATACGGCTCTTTGTCAACAACAAAAGAGACATAAATTCATATATTCATACAAAAAAAAAGGATAATATGAAACAGACTTGACAACACTTTTGAGAATGAAGAAGGAAGTCTAGATCAAGTATGTGGAATAAAGAGAATGTAACGTATGCACAAAATGAAAATTTAGAGCAAAAATCAGGCAAGCTATTTTGCGATTGAACAACTTTACCAACAGCTAACCAGGAATCCAAAAGTTACAAAATTTCTTAAAAAGAAGATAAACTTTCCATTTAAGAAAAAGACTTTATGTTAAAAGTGATTTCAAAGTAACAATCAGATTTTAGGAACATTTTCAACGTTTCTATAGTTTCTTAATTTTCCGATTCTCTGACTTTCCAAAGACTTTTTTTGCTTTTCCTTGTCTCCAAAATTATTGAGTTCCCTGGCTCCCCCTGACCTTCAAATAAAACTTCCACTTAGATTTTTTCCTTGAAAAGATGCTGATTTTTGCTAAACCTTGCTTGTAGAATTCCCTGAATTTTCTACAAATTTCCCTAACTTTCCAGATTTCTTAGATCGCAGGAAACTGAATTTTGAACGAAAAAACACATTCACAGCTTCAAATCTTTCGAAGTATACATGACTCCACGGGTACATGAAGTTGGAGAACCAAAAAAGTCTGAGCCAAGTTACTGATGATGTAGCTTATTAGCTAGCTAGTTGAGTAGTTGATAAGTATTGACAGTAATGAAAGAACGTTTCAAATACTTCTAGCACAAAATTGCTGAGAAATGCCTGACAAAATGGACTGCTGAGACCCCTCCCCCTGTGAGTAACCCACCACACCACACACACTCACATTCGTTCACATACCTTCACATTCGTTCACATTCGTTCACATTCACTCACATTCTCACCAGCCATGCATGTATCTCAGCTTTAGAGTGTAGAAATCTTGATAACTTACCCTAGAGAGGGCAGCTGTGATGGCAGCCATTTGACTTGACATAGAATTGGACGGCCTTTGCTGAGGCGTTGAATTGAAACCGCCCCCTTTGCCGAGGCTGGCAGCTAACTGCTGGTGATTGGTCGACGGAGAAATGGGGCTTGCGGCGGGGGGTGGAACACCGTTTTGAACAATGGTCGGAGATCCGGTAGAGGGAGGAGCGGCTTCGACGGATACCGGCCTTGGTGGTGGCGCTTGCGTCTGACTGTTGGGAGACGGTGAGGGATACTGAGGAAGTGCAAACGCTGGCGAAGATTGAGCATTGGTTCCTACCCTATTCTGTGCCTGGAACTAAACAAGAGAAAAAACATGTTGGACATCAGTAAAGCTAACAGAACAGCAAAATATGGATTGGGTAAGAAATGAAACCTGGTTTCTTTTCCATTGCAGGGGTCCTCTTACGTGTTCCAAGGAAAGTCAATTACTCAATTACCCGAAAATGAAACCACAAATGATCGAAGGAATAGTTAAGGTTCCACAAAGCACATCGCGAAAAAAACATACTAATGTTAGTTCTGTGTTATCCCTCTTGACTCTTGAATGACTGACAACGCGAAGAATCAAAAGGTAGATTTCATGAGGACGTACCTATACTCAGGTAAGAGATGGTTAATGTTTTACTATTTAAACAAAAACATGGAAGATTTAAAAAAAAAAATTAAGGGATCAACTGCCGAGTTGAAAATAATGTGTCCCATCCAGCATTGAAGATCAACCTTGATGTTGACAATTTATTTTTCCTGTTAGTTAGTTTGAATTGTTCTGCAGGAAAGAGCTGAAGTGACTTTTCTCTTGCAAAAATATTTAAAAAAGCTGGGTATGAATGAAAACACAAGGAAATCATGTGCAAATTCTACGCTTAAAAAGAAAACTGTTATAACAAGAGGGAACAAAACTTGAATCTTCAACACTATATGGGAAAAAAAAGGTACTTCAGCTGAATGGAGGGGTACGTAAAAACTGTATCAAAATGGTTTTGCTGGAAAAGTTGGAGAGAGAGAGAGGAAAAGGAAGGAAAAATCCGCTGATTTTCTCAAGAGATCATGCTTTTTCCACTTTTAGAAAAATTTAGGCATTTGATAAATGAACTCAAAAAAATTTGCAAGTTAAATTATTCTGACCATATTTGTTTCCAATAAAATGGTCATAGAGTCATTTTTGTAGCACAATTTAAACAAGCATAAGGAGCTAGTGACGAAATTGAGGATTAGCATAAAGTGTAGAAATTAGAACTCAAACAATCACTCGAGTCCAACTTCTGGTGAAAAGACAGTGCGATATTGATAGATCTCACAGATATTATACTGCAGAAAAAAGATAATTGGATTTTCGGGATCTCTCCGAAATTTACATGGAATCTTTCAAATTGGAAGATTTCATTCAGAAATAACGAACATCAGGTTTAAACTACGAGTTAGGAAAGTTGGAAATACCTTAAGAAATTATAATTCTCATGTTTCAATTGGGTTTGAAGAATTCTTGAAAGGGTCGGATACAGGATGAGGAAAACTAGGATTCTAAATGGTAAAATTCAACATGGGAGGTACTGGAAAATAGCAGACATGGTGAAAAAATTAACGGATTGGCAAAGCATTATAGGTCAAAATAATATAAAACATAATGTTTTACAAAGAATATGTGGTGAAAAATTTTAACTTTTGATAAGGATGGCCTATCTGTTTAATTTTTTTGTTCAAACAGGGATAGGGAGAAAATAAAGGAAACAGGATAGATGATCGGCGAGTCAAAGAGCTTTTAATTTTGTTCAAACTGTCCGCATTAATTTTGTTCCTGTATTTTGTAAATAAATAAATAAATAAATAAACTGGATCTCTCAAATTCTCCTTAAATCTTTCAATTCCAGTTTTGCTCTAAAACCAAATTTTGCTTCTGACAAAGATTCTTGAAGATAAGAGTGGTGCGTACTGCACCTAATCCTAACGAACAAAATTTCGTTTCAATGCTATCGATTGGTGGACAGGGTGTCTACCAGCGGGAAAAAACCAGAATTGGGGACATTTGGGGACTTTTTTCATGAAAATTGGGGACACTTTTACTACAACAGATGAGAGAAAATCTGCGAGAGAAAGCAACATAAAATGAAAAATAGATAAACTCGACACTGAGCTCCCGAAGCTTCGGACCGTTTCCGCCGAAAGACGCCAGCGAGGGTTCAAATTTCTGCCGCCGTAATTATTTGAAATTTTCGGCGGATGATTCTTGTCAGTTTTTGGGGACTTGAACATGAAAATTGAGGACATAAGGGGACAAGCGGGTACTTTAGGGACTTTTGGGGACCGGTAGACACCCTGGTGAAGATTCTTTCCCTTGATAATCGACATTTTTGGAGAGTGAATGATTCAAACTTTCATTGAACATTGAAAACTAGTATAATGCAACTGGTGGTTTACCTGATGATTGGAAGCTGATGTTAAAGCTGGGAACTGACTAGCGGAAGTAGTTATAGAAGGAGGGGGAATTGTTGTACTAGGGCTCTGCGAGGTACTGCCCGGGAAGGGCATTTTGTTGGCTCCAGCTTGTTGCTGTACTGTTCCGCTGACTAGTCCTGCAAAAAAAATAATTATCTTCAGTTAGCAACATGGATGATTTTTAGATCTAAAATTTGGCAACATGAAAAATTCGCGAAAACAACGAGCCAACTGTGACAGAGAATTTTACTGATAGTAAATAAGCTACAGACCAAACCTCAGAGCCAATTTAATTGTCTTAATACCGCAGGTTTCCATTCTAAAGATTTGAGACTGAACGTCAGATGAAATTCCATGGATAAGATTCATTGGATGAAAATTGGTTAGGTTTCTACTAAAACAGACGAAAGTCTTCGATGTGCGCCATACTCGAGCAGAGTTTTCAACAGGTGGCAAGATGGTTTTATAACCACTGAGATCTTTTACAAACTTGTATAAAGACCTTTTGAAATTTCAGTGACTGTGCAGGATTTAAAAATAATAGGAGCCAGTTGAGGTTACTAATTTTGTAATAAACTGTATTGGTCGGCACAAAGGGTAAGTAAATAAAATCCAACTAGAGTACAATACTACTGATTGATCTGTTGCTAAATTTTTTACAGATTATCAATTTTATATCTGATAATGGATTTTTGAGACTTTCTTCATAGCGAGATTTCATATAAACCACATGCCTGTAACATCTTTCTATCTCCGGGAAAAAAGGGTGGCTTTTACGAGGGCTCCTTCAGTCACTTAATATGTCTCCTATTACATTATTATCACTTTTTCTTTTTTTTTTTTTGATTTGTGCACAAGATAAAATTGTGTACATTATTATCATGGATAAGATAACTATCTACGAACCTGTGGCTAAGCCAGAGGAGGTGAGCAATGATTGTGAATTGACTGGTGGGCGGACACCACTGTTCATGAGACCAGGTCGCATCTGCTGCTGCTGCTGCTGTTGCGACAGAACCTGCTGTTGTTGCTGCTGCAACTGCTGTTGTTGGACTTGCAACGGCTGTTGTTGCTGTTGTTGTTGCTGCTGCTGCTGTTGTTGTTGCAGCTGTTGCTGTTCTTTCCGTTTCTGCACTTTCTCTTCTAATTCCTTTTGAATTTTATAAATTTTTTCCGCTAGTAGATGATAGTATTCAGACTGAAACGAGAGATCATAAGATCTATTAATACAACAATAGGGTGCCTACACACTCAAAAGAAAAAAATTCCCTGACCATTTCAGGTTTTCTCTGATTCTCTGGTTTTCACATGGGCAATTTACTTGCAATAGAACTGAAAATGAACAGTTATTTGTGGCATTAATTTCACAGCAAAGGACAGAAACTTAAGGACCTATTTCCTTGTTCAAGGTATTTATCATTCAATATTGATTGAAATTTCAATTCCTCATTGAAAATTGTTTCTCTATCTGGTATCCAATATCTAATAGAGTGCAACTCAGAGCATTGAATCCTGAACTAGACTGAGACGCAACTCGACGGAGTCAACAGCATGAATTTTTATTGAAATTTCAAGATCTATCAAATTTCCTGTCTTTATGTCAAATTCTACGACTTTTTCCAGATCTCTCCAACATTTCCTTGACAATTCCCAGTTTTTCAGACCTATGGACTCCTCAAACAAATAAAACGCATCTAGGAACAAAACGTATCAACTAAGATCCATGAATGACTTCTTCGAAACATTTCAAGGAGATTTTAAATCTAAATACTTGTCTTTATATAATGGACTCATGATTCGAATTGTACATGAGAAAAATGAATGATTTGGGAAATCAAAGAGTTAAGATTGTTAGAAACTATAGATAATACCTACAAAATAAATTTGAGTTCAGCAAACTTACCCTTGTATTGGCCATTTCATACATATCACCCTCTACCTTTGTTGCATAAGCTACTAAATTGCACATTTTCTTGTCTAATAAAGTACGAGGATCGGGGGATGGGAAAATCGCCTGAACTCTGTAAAAATAAAAACATCAATCGTAAATATGAGGCATCATGAACAGTTTTCGTTGAGTAAAAAATTACATGAAAGAAAAAACTACTTAGTTACTGTAAAGAGCTCAACTAAAACATTGAGGCGACAACGCCACAGCCAGAAACCAATGGCAGAAGCTTCAGTTCTCATGGTTTCTCCTCTTCATTACCCTCCAGTTTTGATTGAAATTTTCCGTCCTACATAGAGCTTCCTTGTGAGCTGTCTGATTCTTTCTACAAGTCCTCATCTGTCATGTGAAAAGAGGACTTTCCAACAGAATCAAAAGTAATATTTCTCAGATTAGGGAACTGTTCACAAAAATAAATGAACACTTCATTAAATCTTCTGAGAGAGACAACACTTGATATAAGAGGATACGATGTGTATTATAGGTTAGAATTATTTACTGTGATCATGGAATTTACAGGAGCTAAACTGTAATGAAGTGGAATGAACGAGACTTTCGAAAATACAATTCGCTTTGGTTTTAGACTGCTGAAACGCTTTCATGAATATTTGACACCTTCTACAAGTCCTCGTCAATGTAAGAGAATGAGAACTTTCCAACGGTATCAAACTTGATATATCTCAGTCTGAATAACTATTCATAAAGGGAATATGAACAATTGATAATTGAGCTGAGATTGTTAGGCATTGTAGCATGTAAGATTTGCTAAAAACATTTACTTGGAGTATTTAAATCAGAAAGTACTATAATCTTCGTTGTAACTTGGGCCTTGAGATCCATTAGGATACATAGGTGATAGGGTTCATGACACAATGGGGTAGTTCCTTTTGACTTAAATAAGTCTATTATCGTTAGAAAATTCACTGATCTGGTTCATTGACTGAATTTAAGCGAGCCTTACAGCCTGAAATGAATTGAAAATCGTTGAACTAAAATAAACAGAACTCTGTAAAATACAAATCGCTTTTGATTCAGACTCCTAAAAAGCTTTTGTGAATGTTTGACACCTTCTACAAGTCCTCATAAATTTAAAATATTGAGAACTTTCCAACGGTGTTGAACTTAATGTATCTCAGACCGAATAATTATTCATGAAAAGAAAATGAATAATGGATAGGCGAGCTGAGATGTACAGCTTGTGAGATTTGCTAAAAAGTTCTATTTTACTGTTTTGAGGTTTACATAGCTGTTTCGTCACTTGAATCAATAGAACCTTAGATGCTGTACTCAACAGAAACTGTTGGCAAATTTTTTTTTCTTTGTTTAATTTTTTTGTAAAAAAATTCTCCAATTCCTCATTACTTTCCTCTTCAGTTCCAATAAAAAAAAAAAAAAAAAAAAAAAAAAAAAAAAAAAAAAAAACTGATTGAAATGCATTCTATTCATGGTTCCTCACTTCAAATTCTTTATCACTTAGGTATGAAAAATGATGCTAACCAATTAAGATGACGTAAGGACAAAGAACACTCAAATAAAATAAACAGATGAACAGACAAACGAAAAAAACACTTAGGTAGCAAAAACGGGTGAACATTGACTTACAATTTGTGCACCAAATGATTTCTGAGATCAGGAGTAATAGTTTGATGCCATTCTTTGGTTCCCTGATATAGGGTAGAGGTGGTAACTTGTCCCGTTTGCAGGTTTCCAGTTAACTGAAGATTAGCCAACCGATTATCAGATCCACCCAACGGCCCCTGAGAACACAGTTAAAATTAGTTGGACGGTCCAAATTTAATACTCTCATTTACAGTTAGAAAAGTAGACATCTTGTCGCAAAGCCATCTCAAGAGGGACCGATGAAGATTTTTAACACTTGCTTCCCTGTTAGTCGAATCTATTGATTTATTTATTTATTTATTTCCGTTTCAAAAGAAAGGTAGGTTTGATTAATGTTGACCAAAAGCTAACAGTTAGATTGGTTAGGACAAAAGATTGTGCAAAAAATCAATGATGGAGGAAAGGACTCATGATAGTTTAGATTTATGACCAGGAGAGTATTGTGTAGTGAAGACTATTTCAACGTTCTTGATTCCACACTCAGAGGCAGAAAATTAAAAAATACAAAAATTTAAAGAGTGAACAGTAGAGATCTTGCTTTTTAAAGTCTACAAAAAAATTCCCTGACTTTTCAAGATTCTCAAGTCGCTATATTTCCCTTGACAATTTCAGGTTTCCCAGACCGCAGTGAACCCTGAGAACATAATCATGAATTTTTATGAAAATGACGGAAAGTCAATCAGACTCGGAACTTCTCTTTATCGTCTTTTTTCTTTTTTTATGAATGTATTTTACTGCTTGAAATATAGTTGAAATGCAGACTTTAGAGTTTTTTTACGGTTTCCTGTCACTTAGTTATTTCCTGCATTCCTAGTCTATCGAACAGAAGAGTTACTGTAGACTTCAGCACACCAAACTTTATGCCGATATTCACACAGCGGTAATTTGTTGAGAATTGTGACCAGCATAATGTTTTTTAAAGTTGTTTTAGTTTTGTGTTTTTGACCTTTCTTTATATGCTCTGATAATGGCCGCGAGCCGAAAAGCTTTAGCACGTTTACAATGTTTATTAAATAAATAAATCAGTGAAAACCCACAACACCTTGGCTAATATCCTTTTACATTATCATATACTAGAAGAGTTACAGAGAATCAATGAAAACAATGGGTACTTACAGGTGCATTTGGATCATTGGAATTAGATGTTAGTCCAAACAGATTATTCGGAAGGCTTGAGATTTGCTGCTGAAGATTTGATGCTGAGTTAGGAGGTTGCTGGGCTGACGGAGGCTGGGCAGTTCCACTATTTGAATTTGGCTCCAAACTTACATTGGGGGCAACACCTACTGCAATGAAAAAAATAATTGAAAAGTTAGAGATGTGTAAATGACTTAATATTTACGATGGAAATTTAAAAAATTAGGACGATGACAGGACGGATGACTTGATTGATTTTACGCTTTACCAACAACTTTCAAATGAAAATCCTTTGAAAATTTCTCATTTACAACAAATCAGTGATAACATTTAAGAAAGATGGCAAAATTAAAGCTTGATGTGAAAAAACCAACAACATCAGTGACGATCACTAGATTTTCTGTGTTTAGGGCAGATAAATTGATGAACAAAGAAATCAAAACTGACAAAGAAATGACCAAACTGAATTAATAATACAGTCATACCTCCTTTTTATGAGGAATGGTAGATTTTTCCAATTAAGTTGGTTCAGGGTGTCTATTGGTACCCTGTCAATAAAATTCCTTACTTATTTGGTACCTTTTCCTTGCTCTTTTCTTACCTTTTCCTAATTTTTTCCTTGCCTCACATGTATTTTTAACTTTATTGGGAAAGTGGAATGATGGAATGACAGAGGAATAAACCAAAAAACACAAGGAATCAGACCAAGAACTTAATAAATGGAAATCGCACACCCCCAAGGCTACTTTCTAGAGTTTATCACAAAAATCTCGAATTTCCGTACCTTTTGACGGAAAATCCATGCTATTTCCGTACTTCCGTACCGACCTTCCGAAATTCGTGCTTTATCAGTGTATCCGTACTTTTTCTATACAGTAGATACCCTGTCAGTTTTTTAACAGAATGAACTTTTTTACTTTCTCCTTCGTTTTTCTACATTTTACTCTGAAATTTCCCGTACCCGATTTTGCAGAGATCAAGACTTTAACTAATCACACAGTAATTGACTGAGCTACTTATTGATTTTTTTTTTGGAGAATATCAAAAACGAAGGTATTAATTTAACACAGCATAATTTGTTGCGAGCAGATTTGACAGAAAGATATTGGTCTAACATCTGAAGCAGGATTGCCACCAAATCGAGAAAATGAAATTCCCTAACATTTCCATGATTTCCTGGACACATTTTGGCGGATTTTGCTAACAATTAAAGATATGCCAGATGGTCAAAAATAATAAGAAATGATGGAAAATTAGAAATAATAAATAGAAATAGAAATAATACAAATAGATATAGAAATAGTTTTTGGGCAACACTATTTGTTCTATACGTCAAATCCATTCTAGAAAACAAATAAAGATGCTTCTCCATTTTTCCCTGACATTTTCATCATTTTCCCTGACATTCCCAGGTTTTCCCTGACTTTTTAAAATTCCCTGACATTTCCCGGTATTCCCTGACTATGGCAACCCTGCTGAAGAAAAGAAGGATTGAAAGAGTACCTTGAGATTGCGCTGTAGCAAGGCCTCGAATGGAAGCATTATTGACCGGAGCATTGGCGGCGAGGGCTGGACCGGGCTGCCCTGGAACCGGGAGCCTTGGCCTGACTCCGACCGCAGGTCCGGAAGAGGCTAGAAGTTGAGGGGTCCCACTAGTTGTTGGACATGGCATTCCGAGAGCAGCGTACGCTCTCTGCATGTCTGATGGAGATCGGTTTGGTGGGCCGGTCGCTGCAGTTGCTGCAACTGCGGCTGCCTGATTTGCTGCTGCTGTAAAAATGACATGGAAATATTGGAAATGAACCGGACAGAGGATAAAGAGATGTGACTGCTCACAAAAAAGGAAACCTTGCTGTCGAATAACTTTAAATTTAGAGATGGGCACTACTATTTTCAAGAGTGCTTTACAGACATTTTCAGGCTAAGAGACCCATGTATGTCTTGCGGAACAGAAATTCACAGTTGGTTAAAGGAAACTTACTCAGTTGTGATAAAAAGTTGTTTTAAGTTTTGATTCGTCAAGTTTGAGACTCAAAATTTTTAAGTCAAAATATAACTTAACACTTGCAAGCGACACAAAAATGAACTGAATCATTCATGACTTAATGATTGGAAAACTAGAGAATGATTCCTATTGAAAAACTTTCTTTCAAATTTTTAAACCCAACTTGACGAAAAGTACACTCCTGGAAAATTTACTTGCAGGCATTAAGGTCCCTTTTCTCACTGTCAGTCGCAAATGGAAAAAAAAATTGGAGACAATGTTCGGACATCAATTATTTTAGGAGTTCACCTCTGGCTCTGATGGCAAATATGCTGCAGGAAGTATAATTATGTAGGGAATCAAAATGGAAAGGAATTCAGACTATGAGGAAGGAAAAACTTTAAAGACTTTGACTCAAAGAGTTTATTTCCGGTATGAAAATGAAGAGAAGCTAGTAATTTACGGCAAGTTGCGACCCTTCAAAATTTTTCCCTTCTTTATTTCATGACCGTACCTAATACTTAACATTTCCGAGGATGAAGGATGCCGAATTTTTCAAACAACCCTCGCACAATGAAGTAGACCATTTGCTAAATTATCTCTCAACAATTAACTTTGGAGTTTGAAACAAAATGTGTCCCTGAAAGAATTTCAATGTTTGACACTTTCTACAAATCTACATCAAAAAGAAGTATGGAGATTTTCCAACAGTGTCATGATTAATATTTCTCAATTGCAAGCTCTGCTCATGAGCGTAAAACATAAGCAGTATCAAACAGAATTGAGATGAATGAAAAACGATTAAAAACCACCAGAAACAAACTGTAGAGCTACATAGACTACACCTTTGCTAACAAAAATAATAATGAAATAAATACGCATTCCTGCAGCGACTGGATTTTTGACCCCTGAAGTGTCCTGAATTAACGCTTATCTAGTTAAAAAGCAGGTTTAAATTGTAGGAAAATTTTGACAGAAAAACTGATTAAAAGGATACTTACCATTAGGATTAGCTCTATTTTTGTCTTGCGCCTTCAAGGGGAGACAAACGGGGCAATCACTCCGCGTACAATTCTTCCAATGGGTAATTATCTGCCTAGAAGAGGAACAATGCGGCATCGCGCACTGTTTGCCTTGTTGACACGTTGTCATATGATTCAGAACATTCTTCATTGTTGTACAATGAGGGAGCATACACTGGAATAGAAAGAAATGAAAGAAAAATAATAAAAAATTTCTTAGGTAAGCAAATGGGCCAAATCACACGGGAAGAAAGCAACACTCACTATGAGCTAGAAGTGGAGTTGACCTCTACTGGTGTACTGGTTACCTAGGCTTCTTCAGCTTCACTAGAGGGTTAAGAAACAATATAGAGATACTAGGGGGCTACGTCCCCAGGCCGCGACTCGGCCCAACCTCCAGAAGGCGCTCCGCGCCATCGAGGGGCTGCTTCTTGAGCTTCTTATTGATGTTGGTTCTTTTTCTCTAAAAAATTACGATATGAGGTCTATATGGCTTTTTAGAAGAAATGATTTTTGTTTGTGTTAAATAAAGAAAAAAAAGTCTGAAATCAAAAGGGCGCATTTAGATATGATTGAACCATCAATGAACCATTGCAGTAAAACAATGGCAAATGGTTGGCAGGTCATAATTGACTATTTCCGGCGTCGAGAAAAGAAAAACATTTAAATTCTGGGGGAAAAAAATACCCTACAGCTCTAGGTTCACTTTGTCAAAACACTCACCTGCTTCACTTCACCGTTGGCCTGACTTTCTCGTCTCTGGCATTGATGAGCATGGAGCAAAAGAACTAATTGTTGTTGAACTAATTTCCTTTTTTCAGGATCTGCTAGTGATGTTGGCGGGGGACCAGACACTTGGGGTTGCTGCCCTCCGGGAGGCTGCTGTGCTGCTTGAGGGGGTGGCGCTTCCCCTGCTACAACATTAGCACCGCCGCCGCCAGGAACAACTCCTCCTGAAAATAGAGCGAATAGTGAATATTAAATCTTGCAACTTGAATTTCTTTTAATCCAACCACATTTGATTCTTGAGGAACTTGATGAAGTAATTATAGTCAATTTTTCAGGGTCTCTTAACCTTCATTCAAATTTCTCTTTTCAAACCTGATTTTTCATTCTTAAAGATTTTCTTAATTTCATTAGTATTCTTTAGATTTCCTCGATTTCTTGTAAAAAAAAAAAAAAAAAACTATTTAATTGGGCTGCATTTTGCATTAAGGTGCTAAAATTTTCAGCTCATTAGAGAAACAGCATATGTGCTATTAGTTTACCCCTGCAGATACATGTTTTTACAGCTGAGCCGAAAATTGTAGTTCAGAATTGCAAAATGTAAACCAATTACTCTTCACAATCTCCATTAAAGCTAGTAAAATAATGTGCAGTAAAACTCCCTTAAATCGTCCTATGCTTATATTGGAAGTTGCGCGCGGTCCCGATTTTTCGCCCATAAGAACAATGAATAAAAACAACCCCCAGATATACTCTGTTCCTGCGTGAGCAGAGGGGTTGGGGCATAGTCATATGTGCCTGATACAAAATTAACGGTTGGCTGGGTAAAAACCAATTATTTGCGCAATTTCAGGCAAAAAACATTGAAACTCGCGTATACCAGAACCTGCTTACTTTGGAAATTTCGGCCAGTTCGGACGCGATCCAATAAAAGCAAGTTTTACTGTAAAATCTTTTGGAGTTTTACAATCTTATTGGAACCAATACTATTATCTGATTATTTCATAATAAAAACAAATAATAAAGGCTAGAACAACTTATGAATTTCTACATAAATTGGTTCAAATATTAATTTACAGTAGAGAAAAAAAAATTTTAAGGAGTGTCATGGAAAATTTCCTGAGGGAAACGAGTGAAATGTATCTGGGATGCTCGAAAAGTTGCAGAAATTCTTGCACTTTTTCAAAAAAACCCAGTCAAAAATTTATATAGTACCACTGGGCACACTAGTCTCAATCGATTCGAAACCAGTGGGATACGGGTACATTTTAGGAGGTAACTAATGCCTCCAAAAATTATATTACACAGAGTAGAGACTTTACAGGTGTCTGAAATTTGATGAATTCCATTTTTGAATGAACGCTACAAAGTCAGCTAAACACGAGGATACCCTTGGTTTATGAATTAAACAATTATTGGAGAGGATACAACAAAATGATCTAATCTGCTAAAATACAAGTGTTAAATGGGAAGTGCCACCAGATGACGTCACTAGGCAGTGCATTTTCTCACTTTTAAATTCTATTTTTATACCATTTCCCACATCGGAAAAAAGTATGAAAAATACTGTGAAATAAGCTCTTTAAGCAATTGCAGATGAATCAATAAAAAATTTGCATGCAAATTTTCTATTTCTATGTAAATTGGTTCAAATTTAAATTTACAATAGAGGGGAAAAAATTTTAAGGAGTGACAACGAAAATTTCCTGAGGGAAACGAGTGAAATGTACCTGGAATGCTCGAAAAGTTGCAGAAATTCTTGCACTTTTTCAAAAAAACCCAGTCGGAAATTTATGTAGTACCACTGAGCACACTGGTCTCAATCGCTTCGAAACCAGTGGGATATGGGTACATTTTAGGAGGTAACTTGTGTTTCCAAAAATAATTATATTACACAGAATTAGAGCAAAATTAGTAAGTTAGGGTAGAAAATAAATGGGAGCTGCCTCTTGCAAATTGTTGATTCTTCTTCGGGGTGTCAAACAGTTATGAAAAACCAAAATTGGGGACTTAAGGGGAGATTTTTCAAGAAAATCGGAGTCTTTTTTTCCCGAAGTAGTAAGCGAAAGAGAGCTAGTTAGAGCGTTAAAAGGCGTATTTTATGCATTCATGTTGAACAGATGAAAACATACAAAAAACCAAGCAACACTTCACTTTCTAATTCCTGGTTATACCGCGCTGCCGTGGCTGGCGGGGAAATTTGAAAATGCCACTGTTGAGGACGATTTTTGCCATTTTACGGGGACCTGACCATGAAAATTGGCCTAACGTTTACCTGACAGCTGATCAGTTTCAGGAGATTGTTGGGATGTTTGCATTTGAAAGCTAATGCAAACGTTTAAGAAAAACACACTATCCAAGGATTAGATATAAAGCTAATAGTCCCGCGGTAAACCAACTTAATGACCATTAGATCTCTCCAGAGAGAGAAAATTATGAACACACTGAAAGGACATGACTTGAGCAATTGGCTTAATATTTTAGATTGGAAAGATAATAAGAGTAATTGACTTAATGTATTGAAAAGATAATTATAACTAGACATCAGGCAGAAAAACATAAATAAAAGCTGAAACTCAACAAAGAGATAACACCTCCACTTTTAATTAGGAAAATGGAAAGATTCACAAAAACATGTGGGTGAGTAACCGCTATTACTATTAACAATATGTTTCTCCACCATAAAAAGATCGTCAAAAAATGAAGTGGAAAGAAACTTACTTAGTGGTGAGGGATTGGGAGCAGCAGGAAAACGAGCAGGCTGAAGCGAATTAACTTGGCGCACAACACCCACTTGTGACGAGGGCGGCATATTGCCAAAATATGAACTAGGAATGCCTCCAACGCCTAGATTGGCAACCTGGAAGAAATTTAGGGAAAAATAAGGTCAATAAGAACCCTTAAATTATTGAAATTAGTTATTATTGATGAGACAAATTATACATGACGATATACTGACCTGACTCCATAAGATAAGAAACATACAGATAATGATTTTGAAAACTGAAACTTGATTCATATTTGTGTCCTGCTTTCTGATAGAATGCTTATTCCATCTAATACCAACCTTGCAATGAATAAAAAGATTCTACAATTTTCGATCTAACGACTAGAGATTTGGTAAAAACGTATTATGGCAGTAAACGGATTAATTTTTTAATTTTTCAACCTTCAAAACAGCTTTATCCATTAGAGAGAAAACCCTAACAGTCTGCACTAGATGATACTTAAGGCGAAGTTCCTAAAATGAGGATTACGTTAACCGCTCAATGACATCTGTAAAATTTACTGAAAAATACTGAGACGATAGTATTGAACTTATTTTGTGACACCAAACCTCCTTATAGAATTGGAACGATGGACCATCAAAGAATCAGCAGTAATCAGTGGTGCTGATGATGGGCTGATGCCTGAGACTCATATAAAGTTCTCCATTACTTTGGTGTTCTACTGAGTGGCTGTTTTGAATTTACACTTAACTACCAAATCCCCTCTATACCTCCTGAGTTTTAAAGAAACAATGGAACGTACTTGTATTCGAGGCTGGTTGGCGTTTAATTGATGAACTTGGTGCGGGGATTGACCCCTATTAGCTAGTTGTTGTTGCTGCATGGCAGCCACAGCCCGTTGATTCAACATCGGACCGTTTTGAAGACCCTGGCCAGGACCAGCGACCCCATGGTGATGTAAACCTAAAAATAAAAAACACATCAAAATATACTTGTACACGATTATTTATTAAAAGATAGTAAGTCCACGATTTATCGGATATCAAGGGACTGACAAATTGATGCGTTAAAACACAGAATTTATTTATTTGAATTAACTTGAAGCCCTTAAAGGGACCAGAGGATCACTCCATTAAATTGCGGAATCTGTTAAAACACGATCCGATAAATTGAGGTCTTACTGTAATGCTAACTATGCCGATACATGCGCAGGTATTGATACATGCTCTAAACTGTATGCTCACAAAAGCAAAATTGAACCAAGGTGCCTTGAATTCTTGGTTTTCCCTATTCCCTGACAATCTCCTAATTTTTCCTGATTTTCAGGTAAAAATTCCCTGAGAAAACTCTGGATTTCCACTGGTTTTCCTGTAAATTTTCTTCTTAAAAAAAGGATTTTCCTTCAGAGACTCTGGAAAGAAAATGTCTGATTCTTGGGCGCCACAGTAACGAAAATTACCAAATATAAGAATAATCTAATTCCAGAGTAAAGAGAGAAGAAATTTCCGATTCTTGGCATAAATTTCCAAACAAATTTCCTGATTTTTCCAGATAGTTTTATTCCCTGCTGAACCCAGGTAATTTTTAGTTTTTCCAAATCCTAGCCACCACGAATTCAACCTGTCACTCAATGCTCTTACATTTAAATTCGATTAGCAAGTGTTGTTGTAGATAAGAAAAAATACTAAAAATTTGGTCCTGATACTATCCCTGAAAATTTGAAAGCCTGGAACATGGATGTGTATTAACCCTAACCCGATGCTCATTCAAAATGGCAGAATCCTCTTAAAAACCTCAAATAACTTTAAAAAAAAAAAGAAGTTCACACTAAGTTTTCCTAAAATGTACTAGTTTGAGAGAAAAACAATTCACAAAAAGTGTTAAGTAATTGCATTGGTATAATTTTTCCCGGAGACTTACCAGCAGTTGGATTTGTACCCATCATCGAGACAACTGCAGCTGACAGGGGTTGCTTATTAACAGTGCTAGTGACAACTACATTACCGCCTGGCATGCCGCCTGCCATTCCGCTGCTCGACATAACCATACCTGAAACACACACATTCAAAAAATCAAATAAAAATTCTGAAACCAGGCTTGGCCCATTTTTGATGAATGGTATTTCATGGAAGATTACTAGTCTAGGAGGTACACAAAAAACTTGGGTCACTTTGTTCTCAGGAAGCTACTTAAATTGTTTAGCTGGTAACCGTTCAAGTTACAGGGGCTAATTAGAAGTCATGGGGGGGGGGGGTGGTCAAGCCACAGTTCTTGAGATGCAAACTGAGTAGGTTCATGAAGATCATATAATATCTCCTAGAATCAGGATGCCATAGGGTCAACTAATGCTATGACAAAATTTTTGTGCCGTTAGTACAAAAAACCGTGATTAATATCTTTTTCAAAATTCACGAGTATCTGACTTAACTGAACTGACTTAAAATAGTTCGACATAATTCTTTCTGAGCTCCGGGGGTTGAAGATTGGCAATTCATAAGTGGACTTACAGTGAATCGGTTAAGACTGCAGTCTTGGAAGAGAGGCCAAATTTTGGGAACAGGACAAGAGGGAAAAAATTATATTCACACAGGTCTTAGTAGTGTGACAAGAGATAGAAATATTTCTTAAAAATGGTTGCAACATCGTTTTCGTTCACACTGTTCCTTTAAATTATCTTGATAGCAAATAATAGTGAGGCCAATCAATAAGTCAGGAACAATTTTTTTTTTCATTGGTTAAAAATTTCTAGCTTTGGTCTCATTCTCAACACTTGTGCATGTTTTTTTTTTTTTTTTTTTTTTTTTTTTTTCCCCCCCCCCCCTTTTTTCCCTGTCCTATTCCCAAAATGTGTCCCCCTCTTCCAAGACAGATGTCTTGATTGCTTCACTGTAAATCAAAACATTCTTCATCACTCTCACCGTAAATCCATTAATGAATTGCCCATGTTCACCTCCAGAACTCAGAAAAAATCATGTTCATCTACTTTAAGTTCATTTTCTTATACTCATGAATTTAGAAAACTTTCTTGGAGGATTCTGTGATATTGGATCCCCAGGGTGGAAAGTTGAGGAGTGCTCAGAAAATAGAGAGGGTAGAATTAAAATCGCAGAGCAGAAGATACGGCAGACAAGGCTCAGAGATGCAGTGAAAGAAGCCTGTCGAGGAGAGGTAACTCCAAAATCAAACTCTGGTCCTCGGAGTTGGGGGTTACGGCATCAGGTTGACTCCCTGATCCTCAAAAAGATAATATGAGAGTATGACCAGTTAAACAACCAAAACAATCATGGAGACAAACGCACTCGTAGACTTGAACTACAAAAAAGGGCAGTGGCTTTTGGAACTAGGAATGTCCAAAGGGGACCGAGGTTGAATCGAACATTAAAAAACAGGGGGTAGACGTATCAATAATAACAGAAACTAAAAAAAGGGGGCCACAGATCTGAAAGCACAGGGAGGTTTGATACATTTTTTAGCGGAGTAAATATAGACTGGTGTGCCCAGCCAGGCATCGCAATATTCATTTTTAAGTATTGGTATGAGCACCGTCACAACTCAGGAGCTGTGAGTCAACACATTATCATATTCACTCTAACCTTTCCTTTCAAGAAACAAAAAAAAAAGTAGGAGTGCTGACTTTTATCAAACTAAGGAACAAGTTTCCACTTCTAGAGATTCAAATTATAGAGAAGAGCACACAGAAGTTATTCGTACTCTCTCCTATGACACAGGCCAAAGTTATCAAGCCGTCGTCATACTCACAAAATTCCCCGACTTTTCGTAACCCCCAAAAATCCCCTGGCTTTCCATAGCCCAGACAACCTAAAACTCTGTAATCCCTTTTATCAATGGATTTTTTCAATAAGGATCTCTTCTGCTAAAAATGTTCATGAAGCCTACAAATCAACTTCTTTGGAATCTTAGGAGACTTAACAGGACCCCCAAGAGTTTGAAAACAAAGATATTGGCAAATTTTAGACATCAATTGGAAATTTTCTCTAGAGAAGATCATAAACCTTTCCAGAGAAGAGCTTGACAGTAAAATTTGATAACACTTATATGAACCACGTTTAGCAGAAAGGAACCAAGCCAAATCAGCAATTAACAAATTTAACTGGGCAATTTAATTTTTTACAAGAGAACGTTTGTGGAGATTCCTTTAAAAATGTTAAGGAATTTGCATCGTACTACGCAGAAAATTCACTGAAATTTGCACAAAAATCCGCACAACCATTTTCAAGTAAAAAATTGAATTGCCCAATTGAATTTTGGGAATAGCTGATGTGGCTTGATTATTTCCTCCTTAACGCAGTCTAAATGTTTCCCTCCATGTCATTCTCAAGAGGAACTTCGCTGGATGTGTCGATATACCACAGGCTATTTTTTAGATTTTCACGTAAAAATATCAAGAAAAAAAATCAGTACCATGCACTGTGTGAATGTGGTATAAAGGCTGTTCAATCGAGGCAAAATTGTTGAATTATGGTCATCTATGGAGTTAGGAGCCCTGTTTTACATCTTCCACATAAAAAGTAGATCAATTGGTAAAATGATACTGGTTTAACACTTTCAGCCTTACAAGCTCAAGTTTTTTAGAATCAGCCGAGAGTTTGCAAGAAAATTCAGTTTTACTGAGACAACCTCCGAACGCCGCAGATCCATCTCCAGGAGCAGAGACAAGTGGCACTGAAGTTTCTAAATTGCTTCATCAAAGGCTTGAAGGCAAAGATACTGGATATAGGGATTCTTTCTACTCGATTCTTACGAATGATGAGGACAGCAACATGTCCAAAATTCATCAGATTAAAACAGAGGACTCGAAATAGGAGGTTTGCATCCTCTTTTTCTCATCAAACCCAAGAAAAAGTGAAATACCTCGAGCAATTTATTGGTCTTTCACACTTCTCTTTCTCATTTTTCAACAAAAATCTGCGACATGATCATTTATGAACTAAAAGGATGAGAGAAATGCAAGTAAATGCATAATCACTTTAAAGGTATGACAAATATACATTATTTCAACCCTGCGTAGGAAAATTTAGGAAGTGTTTTCTGAGATCTAACTCCAAATTATCAATGATTACAAGAAAAATTTGGTAATGAAATTGTTTCTTGATTTATTTGTACTTCATAATATTTATACTCTTTTATCTCTAAACTTTTATGTACTTCATAAAATAATTCTGAAAATCTATCAGTGTGGCTTTTCCTCATCTAGTGCTTTTTTTGCTTGATTCTAATTTTCACAAAAGTAGCATAATAATGGAAGTTCAAATAGAGGCTCAATAAAATTAATTGGTATTTGAGCAAATAAATTAAAGGAAAAATCAACTGTGACATGCAACAAGACAAAAGAGGAAAAAAATTAAAACCTTTCCATTTTTTCCTTTCCCCTGTTGAAACGCAGGAAAGGCAAAATGAGTCAGTTCGTGGTTTTGAAAGCAGGGAGATTATAAAGCAGCGTACTTTGAAGTTCGCTTTTAGAGGCTTCAAGAGACTGCTCTACCACAGATAAGCAGAGTAAGGCTTAATATTATCTAACAAACAATTCAAGGGAGGTTGACATTAATAATAATACTTGCACAGCAAAAGATAGTTCAAAAGATAAATGGACTGAATTTCAAAAACAGATCTAGTTTTCGGTTCAGGAAGGAATTGCAAGGGGGCTTAAGGGTAATACGCGTTATAAACTCCACAAACAAAAGGGGTGGTATTCTCTCTACCTCCATTCTAACATTGATGAATAATACAAACTCTCACAAAGATAAAAAATAAAAATAAAAAGCAATAACGGTAAAGAAGGGAAGGCTAATTACTCAAATACCTTAACCAAGCATCTACTAACTTAGATCCAGAAGATCGGCCAGAGAGGATTGGATCTCTAAGGTGAGCAGTGATGAAATCAAGAAAGTAACACACACCTGTCCATTCAAGCACTCGATAATTTGACGCCTTGATGAAAGAAAATTACAATTTTAATGGAATTCGTTTCGCACAGCTTGAAGAACTACTAAATTTGATCAATCTTGTGAGAACTAAGACTTGGGAAACGATAAAATAAACGCTGTGAAAGAAATGATGTAATGATGAATAAGATACTAGGTGCCATGTTGGACACTGTACCAGTTGAAGCAAAGAGGAAAAAATTTAAATCAGTTTCAACCGAGAAAACTTTGAAGAAAAAAAAACATGACATCGATTGAGGAAGTTTTCCTCAAAATTGGAAGATCAAAACGGAAAAAACATCACAGAAAAAGTTCCTTATCCTTAGAGGAAAGCCTGTCCAGGATAACTACAGGCTTCAACAGATGTCGTTGCAAAAACAACAGCAAAAACAATAAAATACAGCAAAAAACAAACTTAACCAAAGTTAAATTATTTTCATGGAGAACAGAATGATGAGGAGGATTTCATCAAAATTGTACCTTTTTAAAGTACAAAAATCAAATGAGGACAAGACATTCAAACCAATAATATAAAATGTGCTCCAAGATCAACGTTCATGATTCGTCAGTAAAAATTCCAATCAAATAGAATTCATGAAGAGCATAAAGAGTCCATACATAAAAACTAAAAAAGCACTTGCTTCTACCTGGCAGAGAGGAGGTCAATTCTCAGCTGTTTTAGTTCAATTATTACAACTTGAATTTTCCAGTCTAGCAATGAATGAAAAATAAATTCAGGGTTTACTTTTAAAAACAAGAAGAAACAGTGAAGAACAGTTCTAACAAAATAAACCGAGCAAACCTGATATAATTTTTACTGCTAGGAGTTTAACAGGAGTTTAACAGGAGTTAAACATTCATGATTTTACCGGCAAGAAAGAGAGAACGATGACTTTCACAGGGGAGGTGTCAGTCATTGAAAGGTTTTTTTCAGGAAAGTCATAAAAAATATATCCAGTTGACAAATATGAAGCTTCAGCGAGGATACAGAAAAATTTGACATCATTTACGTGATAAACTTGAAGTATAGAGGGTGCTTACATGGCATTTTTTCCAGGAAGCAGGCCACTGTCTGGAGGTTTTTAGGGAAGTGGCAACTTGAAAATAGAAATTTCAAACCAATGACATGAAAGCACCATAACCTTGCACAAAGCCAGTGTTGGAGAACGTTTTTTCTTCTCACACCTCTGCAACTTCTCGGTCTTTTTATAAATATTTTTGACTAGCTGGACACCTTTACAGTGCCCTCAAGGCAGGGAAATGAAAGGAAGATTTCACACAATTTAAACTACTCATTCTGAAATCGGCAAACGAACAATTAAATGGTAGGATCTATCAACGACAAGAATGGATCGGAAAACTTAACAGATGCAAAAAACCAAGCTACAAAATGAGGAAAGAAAGAATAAAGAAGACGCCAACTAAATAAGAGCTGTAAACAAACTTGACGGGAGGGACTAATTGGAGACAACTGGTGAAACGAGTGACATACCTCCTGCTATATTATTATTAATGCCAACCATGACCGCAACAGACGAAGGGTTACTGTTGGGCGTTACTGGCGATGGCTGAAGAGAGCCATGGTTCACAACCATGGGATCGCCAGTTTTACTAACAGCTACGTTTGGAGGAGATTGTAAGGTATTACCACTGGCTTTATTCAATGCCCCTCCACCTAATGCTAATGAATTGTTAACAAGTCCTTTATTACCCTGAAACAGAAAAAAAGAAAACAATGTTTTAGAGAAGGAATAGCAAAACAAGACGATTAACTTATAAAATTTGAGAAATAAATTTAAGAATATCTTGATTATCGAGTTCAAAATGAAACATGATCAAAAATATTTGGCAGGTAAGGCCAGAAGAATCTTGCACAGAAAACCGAAGGATTCAGCGGAGTGCTGAAATGTCCAATCTGACAATACTAGGATCATGGCAAACTTCAGGCAAATCTTGAAAATTATGACATTTTTCTTTTCTTCTTTTTTTCCTTAATACTTTTATTACTTTTTAATACTAAAATTAGGCAAATTGACCAATAAATCAGGTGAGAATGTAAGCATTATGATATTATGTATTCTCATCAAAAATTCATGTAGAACACAATTTGTGCAACAAATATTATTGGAATAACTCATGACCAAGATATCAACCCTGCGGTTGGGTTTCCATGCAGGACCCTTCGTCCAATGAGTTGAAGATTTTTCTTAGACTTACGACTAATTTGGAGTTATACTTAGGTTTTTCATAGAAATTTGGACCCATAGGTGGTGGATATTTGTAATGAAGGGTGCAACAGTTTCTCGACAATACGATCAGCATCGGTCAAAAATAGGAGCGCTACAAATAGGGGGCTTGAGAATGGGTAGACCAGTTAACAACATCATGAACATTGCATGTTTATCCAAAATCATGGCCTTCGGTAAATAAGGTGAACAAAAAAAAGGGGCTTTCATCATTTAAAAAATTTTGAAGGAGAAGAGAGCATTAAAAATGAGGAGGACAATTTGAAAAATAGGGAGGCTGGCGACTTTCAGCACCTCTGCTCAGCACAAAAATGCATCTCCAAATTTTGAGGTTTAAGTGCGAAGAAATAAGACATAAAGTATAGCAGCTACAAGCTTCGATGCTCCAATGGTACTATGGAATCATTAAGGATACTCTGCTGTACTTGAGACTTTACAGTTCAGTAAGTACTTTGACTTGAAAGTTAGATGATGAACAATGCAATTGTTTCTCAAAACAAAAGTTTATATTGGAAATCATTTTTTTTCTTTTAATGAGTTAAAAAGCTTCATACTGAGAAAATGCCCCATTTCATAAAGTGGATCATTTGCCTAGCTGTGAAACTTGATACGAGTAATATGTTACCTACATATTGAGAAGAGGTGTAGTAACTTTAGTGTTTCTGGACCAAAAATTAGGGACAGTTCACCTGTTTCTATGCTGTCATTATTTCCAAAATGTACTAAGGTACACCTGTATTTATAAAAATAGTAATGACTTTCGAACTTATAATCAACACAGTTTTTGACTTGCATAATTTAAAAGATTTTTCCTTTTATCTAAAACGAATTCGATTGGTTCGGTTGAATTTTTAAGTAAAGATGACAGCTTTAGAATTTCCTACAGAAAAGGGACGAACCAAAATAGAGACAGTAACCATCCCGCTCTAAGTCTTGTGGGGGTAAGCTGCAACTTAGAAAGAGGGATGGAAAAAGTAGATTAAAGTTACTAAGATTCCAGATAAAGAACCGGAATCCTGATCATTTGGTAGAGGAGTAAGGGAAAATAAAGTAGCAGATCAAAGCTTGGTACCTACTAACAATTGAACCTGACATTTCGAAGAGCATTGGCTAAAGTCTGACTTTAAGAAAGAATTTTGTTTCTAATCGACACTGTCTCAGCATTATTTTATTAGCATGAAATTTGAAGTGACTGTTTTCATGGCAAACACCAGGCTTTTTTTAAGTTTTTGATCATTTCTTGTGCGGCCTCCAAAAACGAAAAAGTTATTCATTTTTATTTTCGTTGACCAGGCTTCAGAATAAGTTTTTAGGAGCACAACATTTTGGACAGAATTTCATAAGGAGGGTAAGAAGGGACAAGAGAAGAACACAAAAACCCAATTAAAATTGACTACCATTAACGGTTAAACTTCAGACTTTCTCCCAATATATAATATTGTTCTATCTCTATACTTTACTATAGCGATGCAGCCATTATTAATTGAGAGCTCCAAAAGTAGAATATAAAACCGCTTGACACCATCTTCTTTTACATGTTCTTGATTATCTAACTCCCCTTTTCCATCACCAATGTTGGCATTTTCATACATTCAGGAATCATGGAAATTTTCAGTTGAGCTAACAGACTTGTAAAGAAACGAACATGCAAAAAATGACACTGATAGAAGACAAAAGTGAGGAAATTTCAGCTATTGATTGCCTTTGAGCTTGCAGGGGTGCAGAAAATGTGAAATCTTCAGGTTCCCACGATGGAACAAAACAAGCAGAGGGAAAACTTGAAACCTTAAAATTTCTTTTCTGTCAACGATTACATTTTAATTATCCGTCTAGAAAAGATGGAAATATTCTTCAAGATCCCAAATTCAGAGAATTTAGGAGGAAGAAAATTACTGCACCCTTGCTGCAGGAAGACATTTGTTATTTCAGATTTGAGCAACTTACCGGCATGATATGATGAGATAGTTGCTGTTGGGGTACTACGTGTTGACGCTGGATTGCTGCTGCATCCTGGGGATTGAGGCCACCGTTCTGCATCCCCGGTCCAGGACCTGTGGCGGGTGGTTTACCGCTAGCGTCACTCGCTGTCGCACCCCAAGAACTGGAGGTCATCAGCTCATCCGGAAGATCATTTTCCAGGTCAAACATGTCAGTGTTTGTCAGAAACTCTGCGGGAGAAAACAAGCAAAAATAAATTATAAAAAATCAAGAGGGATAAAACTTTCAAATTCATAAAACAAATTTCAGGAGACAGGAGAAATCTTTGAAAGACGCTGATAAAATTTAATTCGATGATCAGCCGATTCGTAGAAAATCTGTGATAGGTACTCCTTACTTAGCAGTCTGATTCTGTGAAATATCGCAAAAGGAGAAACCTGATTGATGGGCCACTAATTTAGTCCAGCATTTAATCTTAAAAGCACGGTTATTTTTACAGGTTTTCAGGGGATAGCCGACAGGATTACAACAGTTTCCCATAGTTTTTAGGTTAACTTTCAGTTTGAATTGGCTACCCACTGACAGGATTGCTCTAATAGAGGTAAATTACAGAATCAGACTTCAGTTCTTGCTCAGTTTAGTTTTTCTACTCTGCAAAGCCATAATGAGAATTTATTTTCTAATTTTTAAAGTATAAATTCTACTAAAATCACTAATTTGTGATAAGATTCACCTAGCAAATGTCTTTCTATTTTTTTTAGGGATGTTTCGGATTTAGTCTACATCTGCTAAGCCAGGCTAGTAAATTAGGATCGCAGTTTTGCCAAAATAATCACGATTTTGTCGGCTTCCCCATTTCAAAAAACCGTTTTTGAGACCTTCCCATTTTCACACGCAACCATTCGCGACCCACTCGGTTGCGATGTCGAGAAGTCTTTGCATCCCTGGTGGTTGAGTAGAATATTCATCCTCTTTCTTCCTACTTCCAGTGGGGAATATTGGGTAAAAGTTTAAACTCTATACAAATAATAGCAAAAATCAAAAATCAAGTTTTAATTAAATAATTTAACAGGTTCATGGGATAAAAGAGAGGAAATGGAGGGAAATAGAAAATTTAAAAAATGGCTGATGCTCATCAATAAAAAACAGCTTAAGGTCCTATGAAAGCAAGGTATGAGGATAAAACAGCTGAATTTTTCACTGTTACAACTGTTCCAAATAACCTAAGTTTCTAAATATGTCAGTTCACTTACAAGGAAGTATTCTCAACTATGCTTGGATCTCTTATTCCTATTAAATTATAAACTCAAAGCTTATGCAGGTTTTGGTTACAAACTGCATTATTAGCTGAGAATCAACAAATGCCATGAATTTTGGTAGACTTTCCATCCCTCTCTGCTCATTCTACATAAAAATATCCTTAAAATGTTTTAAAGCATTTATTCTCACCATAGCTTTGCAGTCAGAGATACCTGCAGAACTGAAAGATCCATTCGAAATGCTACTTCATTTCATGATGGTATAACCCCAGAGGAATTTATGAAGCTCCCTTACTTATACTTTAAATGTAAAAATACACTGGCATCAAACTTGGGAGAAATTATGTTAAATTTTCCTTGGAAATAGTTTGGATCAGCTTCCGAGATCAAAATTCTACCTCAACTCTCAGTTTTTAACAGTTTTAATTATGTAGATTTCTTAGTGAGAACTTCATCATTATACCGGCTAAAATTAACAAAAAGAGACTAGAGATTCTTGTTAGGAATATTTCCGCTGAGCATTATACTTTTTAGCATAAAAATACATGATGAAGCTTTGAATGTTTGTAAGATTCAGTCATCAGCAAAGATGCTGATAACATATGTGCTTTAGGCATGTTTTCAGCTCTGTAGCATAAATTTAAAATTGTTGACAGTTGAATATTGCAGAGAAAAAAATGACAAGTGAAATTGATAATCAGCTGCTTTACATTCTCACAGGCTATGCTACTAGAGAGCTTCCATGGGTCTCAGGAGACAAGTTAATAGTGATGCTAACAAACCAACCACAAAAAAGAGGTTATTAAAACTGTAGGAGCATTCAATGCTGAAACTGTCCAGCTCTAAGTTGTTTTAAGCTAATAAGCTGTGACTAAAGGTCCTTGGAAAAGGGATATTTTGGTAACTGTCAATAATAAGTGATCGACCCCAAAAGGGAAGACATTGATTCCTTCAATGGAGGGATGAAGAAGGAAGTACCAGAAACCACACATTTAATTAAGTTTGAAGAAGTTCAGAATAATTCAAAGATAATTGAAGAGTACTTGAATAGAGAAACTACAGATGCGGATGTGAAGGGATCGAAAAATGCTAACCAGAGATTCTCAACAATTTGAAGTGAGCATAACCTACACTGGATTACAAACATTCGCAGCCTGGTGATATGACAAGAAAAGTGAAAATAAAATTCACGTAGAGTGAACTTAGGGATTTAATCTTGCAAAAGAGTGAGAGCAAGGTTAGGTTTAGGTGATAAGTAGGGTATAACTTCAGTTTAGGAAGCCTTCTCATAGTTTAACCCAAATGTTCGCTTGACATGTTCTCTGTGCGTACGGGCACTGAAGGCAGACCTGATGCTAATGTTGTGGTTGTATTGCTTCTTCAATCCGAACTTTAGTTGACTTGGAGGAATTTCATGCTTGCTAAGAAGAGATAGACAGAGAAAAAGAGCGGGTAGAGAGGAAAATAGAGAAATTCTCAAGGGATAAAAGAGACCAGACAGCAAGACTAACCAATGTTTCCCCATGTTTACGTACTAAGACTTACAGAACTAAAGTAATAAAATTTACTCACCGGATGAATCTGAGGGTCCTTGGAAAGGATCCGTGAGTTTTTGCCGCTTATTAGGCGGCCCATCGACGAGATGATCAGCCATAACTCTTGTGTTTACAAAAATCGAGCCTGACTTTTAGAAGAATGAAGAGTATCTAGATTTGGGTTCCTCTTTCATTTTATAAAAATATTTAGCTTTAGCCATGATTCGGTTAAACAACAGCCCGTGCCTCTGACGCTTTTATTAAAACACCTGTGAAGGCACATGTTAAAAAATCAGAAATTAGTGATTGAGCACAACAAACGATCGAAGCTGAGCCTACAATGAGACTCCCCATATTCACGGGAAACGTACACAACGAAAACAAATAGCCACTCGCACACAATTTTTTAATCACAGTTTGCACGCTACGATTGAAGCCTAGATCGCGATATTTTGTGGATTTCATGGATTGGGACTCCGGTAAATTTTACATAATGAATTACGGCTAATAAGAAATTTAGTTAATATCACTCACGCAAAATCCATCAAAATGGCGGCTGCAAATGAAAAGTTTTCTACGCTTGTCAGAAAAGTAATGAGTGTTCTGGGCGCTGATTGGCCGGTATCGATCACATGGCCACAGACGCGGCTCTGATTGGTCCGCTTGAAAGCCGAACGAAATCATGACGTCAAGTCGGAGCCCGAAGATGCACGATGTGTAATTATTCCCCAGTTCGATTTTAGATTTTTTTAAAATCTGAAAATCGGATTTCATTCAAAAATAAATCTGTTTCCTTCCACCAATATAATTCGCCGTTGAGAAAATATTCAAACAGGGCCTCATCAAAAATTTTAGGGGAGGAAATGAGCTCCGAACCGCTAGAGGTTCGGGTATCCCCCCAGTCCATGGTAGCCCCCCCTTGCCTGAACTCGCTAAAGGCCTCACAGCCCGGCTTAATAATTTTTCAGAAATATTTCTGGTGAAAACTTAAATTTTCCTGTAAATTTTACAATTAGTGCATGGCAGAAAAAATTAAGATCAAATTTTGCAAAAAGTTACCCCATCCCCTGAGACTGAACTTAATTGCAACTGCTGGTTTGTGCCCTCTGCTAAGTTGGAGGTCCTCTTGCAGTCAATTTCCTGAATAAATCAGAAACAGAAGAGACCATTCCAATAAAATAAGAAGCAATACTGACGGATATCCAAGACGGATCCACCTATGTTAATGCTTTACCCTTTTGAAATTTTCCCTGCTGCTTATCACCTTGAAGTTGACACAGTTATTATTCGATCAATGTTTTTTAATCTAATTTGTACCTATTTATACCAAAATATCTATAGGAAAAAAAATAACAGCCTATCTGGTAAAAATTCCCAGACTTCTTGGTCTTCTGTTTTCCTTCATAGAATTCAAAGCATCTGAAAAGTTTGAGTCCTTTGAAAGGTATTATTTTATAGAGAAAAATTGTAGGGCCACAAAAATGTTTTTGCAAATACACAATATACCTACTTAGTGTTGAGAAGACACAAAGCTTTACAGTCAAGCTGGTAGCCTTATATTTTTACTCTTTTCTGATAAACTTCCTCGGATAATTGCCATGGCACATAGACTCTTTTGCTGAGGAACTAAGATTTTGATCAAATTATGCAATAAGGAACCACTATTTCTGGCCCATTTCAGAAACAACATACATGCCATCGGTTTCCCTGCACAGATTATGTGCTTTTATACGAGAGCCAGAGATGGTGGTTTCTTATTGCAAAATGTAATCTCATTCGAGCCTATATAAATTTTTCAATCTTCAAAAATCATTGATTTAAAAGTTAGATAACTGCTTTAGTCTCATCCAAGAAGTTGATGAACCTAAAATGAAAGCTGTTTAAGTACCGAGAGGTAAACGACCGTAAAGTTCATTTTACTCGAAATTAAATAAAAAGCAGCTCCGACTGAAGTAAAAATTCTGATTTATTATCCTGGCGCTACTTTAACATTAGAGTTCCTAAAAAAATGCACAATGCTCTCCAATGCTTATTTTACTCCACCTGCTATTGCAGCATGTAAATCAAACATCCATTGATGTAACAGTGACCGCATGTAGAGTTACTTCAACATTGAAAGTCACCACAAATTTTTTTAACAACCTCTCAGTTGGTTAAGTTCCTTCTATTTTTTGAGGGGAAACATGAAGGTACCAAAACCAAGGCATGTTAAAAAATGACTCTCAAAACATTTGCAGACTTAAGAGACAACTCATAAGCACACTGTAAAAATGTGTGTTTCAGGAAACCTTTGAGGGCATTTTCTTAGGTACAATCCATTTACAATATGTAAAATTGACATATAAAAATGTTAAAAAATTCCTTAAAAGATCTGCAGTAGTTTTTCCATCACTTAGAATCTTTGAAAAAACTATCAAATAACTCTTAAATAGAATGATTTTATTTTTTATTTTAAAAAGAGGACTTTACCATAAACTTTACTAAAAGGGATCAGGAAAAGGCTTCTTAAAACAAGATTTTTAAGTTTTTTTTTTTTTTTTCCTTTCGAAAAGTGCCTCTCAACCACCTTTCTCACTTAGGAGTTATTTTCAGACCTATTCTTAATAAAATTTCAGATACTGTTTCTGAAAGTTGGAATTGTTCTTAAGTGAGAAATACTTGGTCATTTAGAAGGAAGAAAAAGAAGTAACTAGCACTCATGTCCCTGACTTCAGCCAGGGGGATTTATGGATACTCTTCCATGAGGAAAGTGTAGAATAAATAGTGAACATTAATTGAGGAATGAAAACTTTATTACAAGTAGATACAGCACACAACCTTACCAACAAAATTTGAAATTATCGACTGTTTCCAAAAAATCTGCAAGTGTTTAGAAATCAGTGGCTTGTAACGTTATTTGTACAATGGATAAATCTTTGAGACAAATAAACTTTAAGCTCATTGAAAATAAAAGAATAAATAAAAACTGGATGAACATGATTCACTCTATATTTTCAAAATAAATTACTTCCTTTCTGTTTTTGAAAAATTAGAGAATGCTACCAAGTTAAGATGACTCACGGCATTTCTCCAATGTGTTTATGGGAGATAGGTAGAAAATTAAAAATGTATTTATAACCCAGCAAAACAAAACAGATATTATGAAAAATTACTCTTCTTTTAAGAGATTGTAGTGAAATGATGTGCTTTCATAAAAGGCGGTTAGTTCATGATTCTCCAAAATTCATGAGAATCTGAACGCACGCCAAAAACTGATTCCTTTATATTTTCATACAACTAAGCTTACAAGCTAGTATGTAGTATCAAAACCGCAACTTAAATTATCAAACAGAATTTTATCAAACTAAATTAATGATTGTAAAAAAATAATCTCCTGATATAAATAATAAAACTTGACTCTTGATCTTCTAATCGGCAAATGACACATAATATAAGATTTTACCTAAAAGCATATCTCAAAATTTGAATGGGACCAGAGACGCTCCAAAAAAAAGTATCTTAAAAAAATAAGAAGTTTATGCATGAATGAACATCATATAACTAAGTAAAACGTCCAGCTGATCTGTGCCTGGAAGGTATGCATAATTTCGTGCAAGTGTGCAGTACAAAAGTTTAAATGTGCGCATATAATTAAGATTGATTAAGCCGGATAATTAAGAGTTTCATTATTAATTTTGGCTATTTAAAGTGACTCAACAGGTTTGAAAAGGAGAAAGTAGATTTTTGATTGCTTCAACACTCATTTAATTCGGACTTAAGTTATACAAATTCACTTAGGCTGACCTTCCCAAGTAAATAAATTTCTACTTTTGTGTGTCAACTTTAAAATTTAGTGACAAGGAGAGTAGCAAAACTATTTGGCGACAGGGAGAAATATTTATGATGGCGAATGTTTCATGAAATGGCGGGAAATTCCAAAGCAAGAATCTACACGTCTATTATAAAATCACATGTAGAATTCTTCTATAAAATGTAAGCATCTCAAATGGTAAAATATGAGGGGGAATTGCAGTTTAGGATCGTTTCATCCTAGATGAAATTTTGCTCGTAGTATATACTTAAAAAATTCATTATCAGACAAAAGTAGAAGATTTTTGGATGAGAAAAAAGTCTTCAAACATCTACCTTCTTTTGCAAAGGGAGAGAACAAACTTTACCACTGAAAATTTCCATCTTCAATAATTCAGGATTTTGATTGATTAATCATTTAGACATGTTTAAATCAAAAGGAACTATGTCCATTGTGACTTGGACTCTGAGACCCATAAGAGAACATATGACAGAGTTCTTGTCACAATTTAGATAGTTCCTTTTGATTTGAGTACGTCCATTTGAAGAAATACCAAGTGATACGTTAGACATTTGTCAAGAATATCCCATCAAAGGTGATTTACAGTGACAAGGTGATTTTCAGAGATAATATTGATCTTATTATAGAAAATATGGAGACAAAAGTTCAGAGTTTTTCAAAATGTAATAATAGATGTTGATAACTACATGTTTTCTAGACTGGAGTCATCATTTTTTGTTCATTTTTCATCACATCGTAGGGATTAGGTTAAGATGTGACCGATCACGCAAAAGAAACCATTTCAACCTAATGATTAATACAAAGTAACTCATCGAAACCTAACCCATGAGAGTGCTGTGAATTATGATGGCGATTTGGTAGGTTCAATGGTAGCTCAGGTCTGAAAATTCTTTCTTCCAACCATTCCACAGAAAGGCTTGCTGTAAGAGCCTGCTTCAGATAGAAATAGTTTTTGAGATGAAATCACTAAAAGATGCTTAAACATTTAAAGAGGAAGCATAACGACAGTGAAACTTCCAAGCCTTGTATCTCGTATGGGGTGTCTTAAAATCTCCGCTCCCATTTTGTTCTTTTAAAGGAGAACAAATCAATATGATTCATCCAGTTTTTCACAGGATTTTCTTTGTAAAGAGAAGAAATATCACGGAAGTTTTAAAAATTGATGTATAGTAGTTTTCCATTTAAAAAATAAAGTATAACAGGAAGTCTGCAACGTCACCGACTAAGATACATGGTTTGAAAATTTACCGTCAATAATTAACATGTTGCTTGATACACCAGTCATTATGATTAAACACGAATGCTTCAACTAATGCCAGCACCATTTTGTCAACAATGGATGATATTTTGAAGTGGCCGATTAAAAAGATTTGCCTTGGGCTACAAAGTTAAGAAACTGCTCACAATTTCACTGCTTGCAACTAGTGTGGTGTGTAACGCGACAAAATATAAAACATCACACTTAAGGAAAAAATTCATTTCTTCATGTCGTATTGTCGACGTAAAAATGGTAAGTAACAGGAGGTATTAATCAAAAAGGATGTATTATATACCAAGGCAGGTAACACGTTAATAATGTGATAAAACAATCATTCCTCACATGGATTTAAAAGACAATTTCCAAACTCATGAATATGTAAGATGACGTTGAAACGATAACCGGCCATAACTACTACCACCTCTTGGGCAGAATGATATATTTAAAAAAAAATAGAGCCCAAGATGTTGGGAACCAACAACTCCTCAATTAATGATAACTCATAAAGGCTGATACGAGCATTCAAATCTTGTAATTTATCTGCTGAAGAATAGGATTGTTTTTCTTCTGAAAAAATTCCAACCCTACCTCAACATCGATCAGGAAAATAGTTAGACTCCTACAGACTGTCATGAGGCAGATAACGAACAAGTTGTTAATCTTGATAAGAGATATTTTCAAAACACCGCATTCAAAAATGGCTCCGATCGAAACAGTCTATTAATCCTAATCTAATCAATGTTATCAAAGAAATCTAATTCAAGGATTCATCACCTGCGTACATCTTATTTTGCAACTACAGCAGAGTGAATTTTTTTTTTTTGCTCTCAGTGAGCAAATTCCTGGCACTTTCTCACTCTTGCTGTAGCATGCCTTTATCTAAAACTCCTATTTTAATACATTAAAAACTAAATTTCTATCCTTTTGAAGATAATGGCCATTTGTGTGCTGCACCACCTGCTAATTTAGCTCAGTTTTCAAAACTGCAAATGTTTTTGACCTTGAAAACAAACTTTAAAAAACTAGAATGAGGAGGGGGAGGTCATTTACATCAGTCTTTGGTTTCTTCCTTGATTTTAGTATCAGTTTATACAAGAAATTCAATTTTTCTATTGATATTTTGAAATTGGGAGAAGGGTTGATCCCCAGAAATGATGAAAGAATGACATATTCATTTTTACGATCACAAACAATGGTATTTCTAATTAAGTAAAAAATAATTACAGCACAGGGAGATAATTAAAAATGAAAGAGGTAAAAATTAATCAACAATCTTGAATAAGCAGGGTATTCAAAATTTAACTAAGATAATAAAACAAAGGAGATTTGGCGGGCAACTGGGCAAATTAAACCAGAATCAGCCTATTTTAAATGCATTTCTCGAAGCCTTCTTTTACCTCATGTTGTATTTTTTTAAACGGAGAACTAAATTAATTAACGCCTTTAAATTTTCTGTCAATTTACCCCAGTTTATGAAGAGTATAATCACAGAATTTCAAGTTTTAGTGCCGCTTGGTTTTCTGTTTTAAACATAAAACATGGGAGAAAAGTAGGGGACGTCTGGTGTAGTTCGGCTAGATCTGGCTTAATTCGTCCAATTGATGTTTCTTGTTGAGATGACAAAGAATGTTGATTAGAGTTTTTCTGAAATTCTTGAAATATTCATCATACATCCTATACCTCTGCTTGGTTGGATATTCTAGAATAACACTTCAGATAATATGTTTATGAAAGATTTTCTGACACTTCAGGAGTAAATACAAAACTGAAGAAAATTTCACCATGATTCCAATAAATTCTTTTGAAACCAATCTTCTTTATAAAATACACTTATGGCCATTATTCTCTAAATCCCGTAAACCAGACTTAAACAGAATGTTACAAATTAAAAAATTTAAGTTACTTACATAATCACTTCAACCAAAGATAACATAATTCAATCTATCACTGTTAATGTTCATTGTGGCCTAAAGAGCCACTAGACAGGGCAAGAACAGGGTGTCTACGAAAATTTTATCTTGGATTTTCCTGATATTTTCCTACTTCCTGATATTTTAAATAAAAGTTCCCGATTTTTGAACGGTTAAATTGTCACTTGTTTGACTTTACAAACCAACACATTTAATGATTTAAATCGAATGTTTGCCAGCTGAAATTTATTTACTGTTCAATTTGACTCAAATAGATAACAGTTTTTTGATGCGAGAATTTTGAATAGGCATTCAGGAAAAATGCCATTTTCTAACTTATGAGCTGGACTTTGAAATTATTAATGTGCTCACCGTAATTCAAGGAAAATTTAGATGAAGAAACATGTATTGTGATGCGAGTGGCGATTTTGCAAATTGGCAACATTGTTTTTGCCCCATTTAAATCCCAGTAAACATATCGATTATAGGTGAAGCAAGCTGCCTCGCTGAGAATCGATTTTATACATTCATTTGAATGGAAGAAATCAATATTGCCGATTTTTAAGAATCACCACTGTGTGGTGCTTGATTTTATGCCCTGAATAGTGGTCCATATAATTTGCTCAGGGCAATTCTTACAGAAATTATTCGATTTTTTTTTTCTCTTTTTTTCTATTTTTCTAAGAATATAAAAGGTTAACCTATAAAATTAAATTCAAGCTAATATTTCATCAGATTTTATGATTATCTTACTCAACTACGAACAAAACGAATACACCTCAGCCTTCACAACAAAGACTTGAAACATTTTAAGGAACAAAGTAAAACATTTCGGCACTACAGATTTTTACTTTGATGATCATAAAACGGATTAGCAAAACTGCAGAGATTTACAATCAGAAAAGATGTTTTGGAAATAATTTTTGTTTCATTTTTATGATTGATAAATTCACTGCCGGATCAAAAACATACTGGTGGTCCAACAGCTGACAATATTTGATTATATCTTACTGTTCAGTAGTGTAATAGAATTTCCTGAGAAAAATCTGCACGGAAAAAGGGCAACATACAGAATTTTTACTGATCTCGGTTTGAGCTTTTTTCCCCTTGTTTTGGGCAATAGGTCATCACCGGAACGAAGGAACGTATCTCGATTGCACTGTTTCAGTATTTCTTACCAGCGCATTATTTTTTACGGGAGAACCATTTCATGAATTGCCTGAAATTTCCAGTGATTTCCTATACACACGTTAGAAAGGACTCTATTATCAAGACAAATTCATGAGATGGTCCTTTCATGGAAAATTTAAAGTTCCTGGAAATACAAAAACAGCGTGAACAAGATATGTTCCTTACTGCCGGTGAAAGCGAGTTGACATGTTTCTCATGGGGTTGCACATGTTTCTCAATCATCTCTCATCGAGTTTCTCATGACAATCAAGTCAACATAATTTATTGCCTTTTCATTGAAGGAGACTTTATTTTTAACACTTCAGGTGTAGACCAGGTGTTCCAAATGCGTCTTGAAAATTGCTGATTTTTGGAACTTTTATGAGGGACACAATCTGTCGGAAAAACAAAAAGACACGGGCTGACAAGAGTTTCTTTAAAAAAACTATAGCACGCATTCCCTCCGTAACAGCGTATTTGCAAGGAGCTCTATCAAACTGCTAGTTTCCCTTGTTCCGAGACTAGCAAAGATTATGCTGATGATGAGATGCAAAAAATAGATGGATGAACGATGTTCCAAAAATTTTATGTTTGAATGTACGGGTTGAAAATTAGGTCCACAAATGACAAAATAATCCAAGTGTACATCATTATTTCAATTCTAATTGGTTCATGAGTAGGGCCTTTACTTGAGTGGCTATTTTGAATTGATTACATTAAGACATCAATTTTCTAGCATCAGGAAGCAGAAACATTCTTAGGGGCAAACTTCTACATGCTTTCGTTAAGATAATGCAGCTACTCAAGACTCAACCATCTTACAGCCACAAAACGTTTTCTGATTGGCCAATTGCTTATCTGCATTAAAGCATCCAAGGGCTTGCTCTTCTTTTCAGATACTTTCATAAGTGTAGGTGAAAGGTGAGAGTTATTTTAATATTAGGCCTAGTTAGGTTAATACTTAGATTTAAGGGAAATTAATTTCTTGACCAACTTGTAATTAGAGCTGATTTGCCAAATCTTTCAGAAGTAGTTTGAAGCAGAACTGGGATTAATCTCTGAATTTAAAAGCAAAAAAAGTAAAGATAAAAGCCAGAGGAGCTGCGGTTTATCACAGATATGGATTTTTTGACAGAGGAACCTTAAAATTCAGCATTCATTTCCTAACGACTGGCTTCAGTTCCCTCTTAAAGAACACTTCCCTTGATACAGACAAGGCAGCAAAGACTTGCAGCGAAGTAGGAATCACTACAAATATTTGATAAACAAAATGCCTGACTGTATTTTATGGTATCTAAAACTTACTGAAGTTTCCGTAGCATGATTTGATAGAATTTTATCTTATATCGAACACAAATTTTAGTAGAAAATAGATGTGATGTCAATCAATAACCTCACTTCATATGAACAGTATGTAAAGTGTTCATTTGATTGAAAAACACACTGTTTGAAAAAAGCTTCAGCAAGAGGAAAGAATTAAGAATAAAGCAGAAAAATAGACAGCACATCCGAGAGGCAACTGTACCTGAATTTATAGGTGAAAATTAATTTTTGTCCTTAAGACTGAAAATAAATGCATATAAACATGGGCTTCAGCCTTCCGCCCATCTCCTCCAAACCTACTAAAACCATCAAAGTGTTCCTGCATAATATTACATCTGTTATTAACCCTTCTAATTCAATTATCGCTAGCTGCAAAGACACGATTTTGTATAATCTAATTACTCATGGAGAAGTGTAAGGTGATGCTAACTAGCAACTAGGATGAAATTACATAGACCCGCTAAACATTGTCTAATCTTGCGCTTGTTCTCTTCTCAAGCAGTATCAAGACCGTCATACCAGCTTATGGAACTTAAAAGTCTATAAAGTACACACAAAATCCACCGTGGAGAGAGATGGGAATAGAGGGGAAAACCAGATCCTAACTGTAAATAAAATAGCAAAAATTCACTGGGAGAAAATTGGAAAGATGATTGGGGGTGTAAAACAAATTTTAAAATGAAAAATCGTAAAAATATAAAAAAGAAAGGGGAAAAAATGATGATTTTCAACTCATCCACCCAGGAATATACCTTCACCTCTACAAGCTACTAGAAGAGTCTTCAACAGTCAGGTTAACAATGAAATCAGAATCGTTCATCATTTTTGTTGTGGTTCTGTTGTGGTGCTGGTGTCTTCATCTTCGTCGGAGTAATTGGTGTGCTGTTCTCCGGGTTTCAGGAGCCTTCCGACGTACTCGTACTTTTCTGTGAAATATAAAAGAAAAAATTATAAAAAAGTGAATGAGCTGTGGTGGTGAGCTCGCGGCTCAGGTAACCACTACTGTAGCGAGCTACAGCCAATAAGCTGCACTGGTTGGCGAAGTAGGTGGCTTCTGGCCACAGAATTACATCTGCGGTGGTAATGTGAATTCGTGACATCAAGAAGCACTCAAGTGCTTCTTAATGAGAGCCCCGGCAAGCAGGGCGGTAAAAGGTGAGGAAGGCTCAACCTTACTTGGCCCGCTTGCTGTTTTGTCGTCCATCTCTTTTGTACTCATTAATCACATGAGGCATTCTGCAGCTCGTCGAAGGGACGCCTACCGCGCACACAGTCGCAGAAATACAGGTTCTGGCCCGTATTATATCCATGGTAGTAGTGCGAATGCACCGCAAATGAAGGCAAATCTGAATATTTTTCATGTCTTATACTACTGGCGAGATGAATGTAATGATGAATTCTTGGGAATGTAAGTAATATGCTCGCATCATTAAATGCAGAGATCAAGCGCGCAACTATTCTAAATCTGGGGTAGATATGTGGTATCAATCGGAAATGAAGGCAAATCTAGGCTTTTTTTGTGTCTCAAATTGCTGACTCTAATAAATGTAGGCATAATGCTCGCATCGTGAATCAGGAAATCAAGCGCCCTACTACTCGACTTTCATCAAGCTAAGGGTGCAGTGCCAAATAATATCGCAGAGGTTGAAAGGTTCTTTGCTAGCACAAAGTCCTTGTAAAAAAAAAAAAAAAAAAAAAAAAAAAAAAAAAAAAAAAAAAAAAAGGTGTGGATTGAAACTCTGGAAGTTTTACTCAAAAATAAAAATTTGAATACAACATACCATTGAACTGAACCTCCCATTCTTTTATTGAGTTCATTTCGTCACTGGATAAATCACTCAAATCATCATAGACATCTTTCACCACCATTGAGAACGTTCCAAGACTTCTGGATGCATCTCTTCCACCCAAAACAGCATATGGTCCTCCTGGAAACAAATGACATATCTTATGTGTAGTATTTAGGATGGATTAGAATTTAAAAATGACATACCATGGAACAAAAACTCCCTTCAATTGAATTTAAGAGGCGCGATTTTCTTTTGGTCTTCTGCAGTGAACTCTCCAGTTAGCTGCGTAAGACCATAAAAAATCCTTCAATTTATTCTGCCTTCGGAAGGAGAGTGCTAAAAGAGGGTCACCCCCTACGTTGACATAAACTCTTCCTTGTGAAATTTCTAAGCGTCAAAACGTTTGTACTCAGAGGGCTATGTCAGTCAGAATATTGGACACGATAAAACTGGAAAAACATCCCGTCCTCAAAATGCGTATCCTCCAAAAATCGCATACAAATATGTCAGATGATATAATCTCTTGGTAAAAAGTAGAATAGGTATCCGAAAAAATTATGAAACGCGATAATGAGGATGGATGTTCTACCTGTATAACTACCGATTTGCAAATTGATGGACCTATACTTGGACCATGCTCTACCTCCAAACATTCAATTTTTCATCACCTCCCCCCCCCCTCAATAGATTCAAATTGTTGTCAGGGAAATTCATTTTAATTTTTACTCACGAACAAAATGCATATCAAGATTCAATCTAAAGATAAAAAAATTATCATAGATCATCTATTTTTTCCAATATGACAGACAAAATTTTGTCTCTTGATAGGTTCATCAAAATAGCAACTTGACGCTTCAAAGTTTTCAATTGGAAAAATAATTGTGCCCCTACTGATATTGTCTACAACAGACTCACTCCCAATTTTCATGGTACGTAAAAACAATCAACAGAAAAATTAAAATAGAAAAAAAGGCCCATAAATTTTCAGCCTCGCGACTCTATCTAAACGTCACGTGCATCCGGCGGAGAGGTCCAGAACTCCAGAACTCCAGACTCCCGAGTATTGGAAACGCCTAAAGGTATGCAACAATACCAGCACGATGGATATGCAGTGATGCATAACTGCGTTCTTGTGGGCGTTTTACAATCATTCGACGTCGCCTCAGGATTTCACGCGAGGCGAGACGAGAGACAATAAAAGACCTAGAGCCGAATGGGGGGAAAAAATCTATCAACTATTTCCGTTTAAAATTAGAAGGTCAGGCGAGGAATTGACGGCATAAAATCACGGTTAAAGAGTGAATACGTTAAAGTCGACGTAGGCTTTGCTAAGAGATCGCATGGGTAACGGACCTTACATTATCTTCCATGAGACTTTTTTTTGCAGACTTGATTAGTAGGTCAATGTCTTCATAATTCATCCTGATACACTTATGCATCAATATTTGAAGCTAACTTCTATGTCGATGTTCTTTGGCTGTGACCATAAATACCATTGAATTTTGTGACCACCTTTCCACTTTGAGAATCTCAATACGTTTAAAGAAATAAAATAAGTTAGCCAAACTAACTGACTAAAACTCATTCCTTTCCTCGTGCTATTCGTTTATTTGGGTGAGAAATAATTTTGGCGATTAGATCATCACATTAACATACAAACGGCACGTGATGGAATATGACCTATTTTTGGCTAACGTCAAAAGCGAAAAACTTGCCATCTGCTCTCTGCACGGATGGGGCTTTCATATCGATGGTTTGAGACTTCAAAGTAAACTAACCAACGCGTTTTTTCAACTTTTCGTGAATTTTCTCACTTATTCAAAAATATTCACAGAAAACATCGAGGAAACATTTGGACCGCATTTTGCAATGAGAAACTATAATCCATAAAAACACATATGTTCTGAGGGAAACTGATGGTACATGTATAGTTTTTTAACTGCGCCAGAAATTACAGTTCCTACATGTAAAATGTGATCCATTTCAGGTTCGTTTTATTTTTTTAAAAAATAGACACATGGAGATGTTTAAATGTTGTGATGGAAATAAACGCACGTTTTGACTTTCGCTATAGGTTCGCTTCTCGATTCATTTGATTTCAATAAAATTGAAATTTTTTTGAATTTGATTTTCTTCTCGAATAAGCTTAGTCTCTTAAATCTCTTTGTGGAGAAGTGTTGTGTTGCAGTCATAGACCCTTGTTGTGGAGGTATACGAGTTGTTAATAAAATATTGCTGAATCTAGAATGTTGAGTCTGTTTTTTACCATCCTTTTTTGGTTTCAATTTTTTTTTTTTAAGCAAAAGTGACTAAAATTTTTCAATTTTTTACAATGATGTACCTATGCAATGTTTGTCCAAAATTTGTCTGAATTTTGCACGAGATCAGAAGAAAAATCAGAGAAATCTTCAGTTAGAAATGCCCAAATTTTCCTTGTAAAAATACAATATGCGAGGGGAAATTCGACAACATTGAAATTTAGTTACGTTTTTTCGTAGGGGAGACAACGAATTGAAACATTTTATCACCATGACGTCATTCCATCCCGCTTTAAGCAAACATTAAAAGGACGTATTTCTATCAAACAGAACTATGTACATTATGACGTGAACCCTGTTGTGCATGTATTCCTATGGGTCTCAGGGCTCATGTCTTAATGCACATAGTTCCGTTTAGCAGAAATACGTCCAAGAGATGACAGGCTCTTCGCGCGAAAATTTTCAAACTCTTTCTGGGTCGACAGAAAGAGACCGCGGGTTCTGATTCTGCTTTTTCCTGACTCCAGACAATGATAAGGTAAACGATAGACGACCGGCCTTTTGAGTACGCGACGAGAAAAAAAGTAATGTTTTGATTTGAACTCGATGTAACTGAACGTAATTCGATTGAGATAAAAATCGGTCATAGTTCAGAAGTAGTATTTTATCACGGGGAAGTGCGATTCATTGGAATCAAAACATTTGTGAGTGGTCGATGCGTCGCACATTGGATCGAGTCAATCAGAAAGGTCGGACATGAAATTCTTGACAAAAACTGCCAATTTTGATGTCTGAATCGTCACATTCTAAGTTTTAAGGGATGATTCTAAAAGAAAATCTCACGAGGAAACCGCAGGGACCACTTTTATAACCTCAACATTTTGTATGAACGTGGTTATAAGCTTCTAAAATGTCAAAATTTTGTCCGACCTCTCCCATTGGCTCGATCCTCTGTGCGCCGGCAACCCTGAAAGTGACGCAAATCGCACATTTCGTCGTCACCCGGACGAAAGAACGTAACTCCATTCCAAGGTTGCAAAATTGACTCAAACAATTCAATATTTAACAAGAATAGACTTGTGCAATTTTTGTCGAAAATTGGTCTGATTTTCGCATAAGATCAGAAGAATAACCAGGGAATTTTTCGGTCAGAAATGCCAAAAATTCTCCTGGGAAAAATGCAATCTGCGCAAGGAAATTTGGCAACATTGAAATGCAGTTACGTTTCTTCGTGCGGAAAACGACGATTTTGCCGTAAAATCGAGTAGAGAATATGTTATTTTACCAGCCATAAAATCGCTCTCTTTCCGTGATGGGAATCAGTGGTTCGGCTACTACAAACCCTAGTTCGCAGCGAACGGTAGGCGTTTTGAAACTTTTCCCATCCCTTGTAATAACTTCTTGAAAAAAAATAAATTCATAAATTTTGAAAATACTTTTTGGTTTCCGATTCATTTTCAACCGATCTCTCTCCCTGTGTCTTCACAGACGAGTGATTTGTGATTTCGACCAATTTTTCAAAGATAAAAAAGGAGTCTTGAAACAGGGTGTCTACTAAAACAGGCTGGCCAGAAATCAGTACTTTTTCATTACGTTCCCAAGAAATTCAGTGCCACCTCAACAGAAAAACTCAGTACTTTTTCATTACGTTCCCAAGAAATTCAGTGCCACCTCAACAGAAAATTTCAGTACTTTTTCAGTACCTGTACTTGGCAAAATTCGAAAAATTCTGAAATTTGAATCTCTCGCTCAAATTGCGACAAAAATGACAAAAAAATGAAAAAATTCCGGGCCTTCTTGCGGAAATTCCACACTTTTTTAGTACTACCGGACCGCCTTTAAAAAATCAGTGCTATTTCCGGACTTAGCGAAATTCCGAACTTGTAGACACGGTGGCAAAATTTTATGCAAAATGAAATCTTGAAATTTCACGTGACATATTTCATGAAATTTCAGACATTTATGAAAGCTATTGAAAAACACCGGTTCCTTTTCATGTTTCGCAAAATGTAAAAATTGTGACTATCTTCTATTGCTGTGTGTTTGAGTACGAGTTGTATACTCTGGCCCCAGAAAAATATGAAATATTTCACAGCCTCCTGAAATTTCACTGGAATTTCTAATCTTTAGCAGGGTGGCAAAATTTTCATGAAAAATATAATTTTGAAATTTCACGTGAAATATTTCATGAAATTTTAGACATTTATGAAAGATCTCGAAAAATACCGGTCCCTGTACAAGTTTCGCAGAACGTAAAAATTGTGACTTTTTTTTCCAATTTTGTGTGTTTGAGTGCGGGTTGCATACTCTAGCCCCTGAAAAATATGAAATATTTCACAGCCTCGTGAAATTTCACTGAAATTTCCAATCTTTCATTTCTTTCTTACGTTTCATGCCACCCTGCTGCTTGGGCTAGTACATACGACATTTTCTGACGCTTAGGAAATGATTTCCAAAGACGGAACTCATACGGCTCGAGTTCAAGGTCAAGCTGATGATCGGACCGCAAGGTGTAATCGGTATTCACTCTTGGGTTATTTAACATGCCTCTCTGTTCTGCCAGGATCATCCATGACACAGAATGATCGAACACCGACCAGCGTATCAATCTACCGAGTCGCCTCAAAGGCATTTACATAAGTTCCTTGGTTTTCTCTGCTTCTGAGTTCACGAAAACCAGTAACGTTGCCAGGAGCGTGGAGCAAAGAAGCACATCCTTGCACTGTCACCCGTAACATAAAACTCAGCGGTAAATCAGAAAAATAGGAAACATTTTGAACAGTGGCGTGGCGTGCTTTGCGATATCGTTACCTTCAGAGTACCTATATCGTCACCTTCCAGGCAAAGTATCACAAGCGCCATGCGACGTTTAAAAATTTC